GACTTTGGCATAGTCAATAAAGCAGAAGTAGATGTTTTTCTGGAACTCTCTTGCTTTTTCTATGATTCAACGAATGTTGGCAATTTGATCTATGGTTCCTCTGCCTTTTCTAAATCCAGCTTAATCATCTGGAAGTTCACGGTTCACATATTGTTGAAACCTGGCTTGAAGAATTTTCAGCATTACTTTGCTAGCATGTGATGAGATGAGTGCAATTGTGCAGTAGTTTGAGCATTCTTTGGCATTGCCTTTCTTTGGGCTTGGAATGAAAATTGACCTTTTCCAGTCCTGTGGCCACTGCCGAGTTTTCCAAATTCGCTGGCATATTGCATGTAGCACCTTAACAGCATCATCTTTTAGAATTTGAAATAGCTCAACTGGAATTCCATTACCTCCACTAGCTTTGTTCATAGGGGTGTTACCTAAGGACCACTTGACTTCACATTCCAGGATGTCTGGCTCTAGGTGAGTGATCACACCATCGTGGTTAATAGAATATTACTCAGCCATAAAAAAGAACAAATCTGAGTCAGTTCTAGTGAGGTGGATGAACCTAGAGTCTATTATACCAAGTGAAGTAAGTCAGAAAGAGAAAAACAAATGTCATATATTAATGCATAGATATGGAATCTAGAAAAATGGTGCTAATGAACCTATTTGCAGGGAAGGAATAGAGGCACAAGTGTAGAGAATGGACTTGTGGACCCAGTGGGGGTGAGAGAAATGGGACAAATGGAAAAAACAGCATCAGCATACATACACTATCATGTGACGAATGGATAGCTGATGAGAAGTTACTGTTTAACACAGGGAGCCCAGTCTGACGCTCTGTGATGACCTAGATGGGTGGGATGGGAATTGGGCAGGAGGTGGGGGGGCGGAGCTCAAGCAGGAGGGGATAAGTGGTAGTTGTGGCTGATACATGTTGTTGTGCAGAAGAAGCCAAACAACATTGTAAAAATTAAAAAATAAAAAATAGATGATTCAAATATTGAACATGGATCCATGAATTTAATCACTTACAGCAGTTTGTAGAGTGTGCTCTGAATCAAGAGTAATAAAAAAAAATTGTTAACATATACATTTTTCAAACTGTATCTGAGAATAGAACAAAAATTTTGTACTTGGTGACTTGGTATACAACTTACACAACTCTTATGTAAATTTGTAACTAAGCAGCATTTTTTAGTTCAGATATTCACTGGAACTACCATTCAGCTGCCCTTTACATTTGTTCATTTCTATCTACTGTTCATCATTCTCAACATTTCCTGCCTCTCTGCCCTGGGCACCGCCCGGCCATTTCAACCTTGTGGTATTAATAGAAATCAAATTTGTGCATGTTGCTGCTTGGAGGGCTTAGCAGTGGGGCTGTCTCTGATGAACTCTCACTGAAGTGAGACACTTTTCTAATGATGTACATATATATTTCAGTAGATCCTTTAAAAAAAACAAGGTGTGATTAGAGCAGGTCCAGGGAGGTCCCTGTTACTTGGGAAGGGAGGAGGAATTCTTCCTTCTGCACCTCAGAACCTCCCGCCTCCCAGGGGCTTTCTGGCTCTAAGACAGAGGCAATCCACACCCTCCCCCTGCTCCCAAGGGATGTTCTTCTTCCTCAAGAAAGCTGAACAGAAATCCCTTCCCAGGAGTCTATTAATATGGCTAAAATTGGCTGATGGCCTGGACTTTGGAGAAACTTCCTTAGACACTGAAGGGAGTGAAAACAGGCTCTAGGCATCTAGCTCACCCAGGAAAACTGTCTGCTCTCACCCCGTGTCAGGCTCCAAACTGAAGCAACACCCTCCACTCTCCTGCCTGCAGAGTAGGGAGACTTGGGTATAACCTGAGGCAGAGGACCAGCTCCAGCATCAGACCTCCTGGCTTCAGTCAGGGCTGAGACCTTGGTTCCTCTGCGGCCTCAAAAGATAAGGGTGTTAATACTAACTGTTTTCTAGGATTGTTATAGGAATGAAAACACAAGTAAAACGCTTAGCATTGTTCCAGGTGACAAAACAGTGTTAGTGGCTCAGTCATGTCCAACTCTCTGTGACCCCATGGACTGTAGCCTGCCAAGCTTCTCTGTCCATGAAATTCTCCAGGCAAGAATACTGGAGTGGGTGGCCATTCTCTTCTCCAGGTGAGCCCTTAGTAAATGGCAGCTACTGGTCTTACAGGTGACTCAGTGGGTAAAGACTCCACCTGCAATACAGGAGACACGGGAGATGCAGGTTCAATCCCTGAGTTGAGAAGATCCTTTGAAGGTGGAAATGGCAACCCTCTCCAGTATTCTTGCCTGGGAAACCCCATGGACAGAGAAGCCTGGCAGGCTGCAGTCCGTGAAGTTGCAGAGAGTCAGACCCAACTGAGCACATGGCGCATTCACACATGCTGGCCCTTCAACCTCTCCCACTCTGCATCTGGCCCATCAGTATTCAGCCTAAAGCACCACCTCTCAGGAACACACAGGCCACCACCCTTATGTGGCTTTCTATTGTCAGTCACTCCCAGCATCGTCATCCCTCTGAAGATCAGTCTGCAGTGCTAAATAGGTTGTACCTCTCAAGAGAGGACTTCCACTCCTCTCTTCACTGACTTTGCTGCCAGCTTCCATCACCCCATCCAACCCTCAACCTGCTGAAACTCCTGAGGCACAGACCTGGGCCCTCTTTTCACCCAGCGCAGACCTCTGTCCTTTGGAGTTCTCCGCCATGCTCACGCTGCTCCATGCCAACTGACAGCTCCTGAATATGGATCTTCAGCCCAGACCTCCCCCCAGAACACTTCCAACTTGGATATTCAAGGAACTGTTTCATACCTCTGTTGGAATGTGCCTCAGACATTCTAAACTCACACACCCCAAACTGAGCTCTTAGGAAGCCCTTCACCAATCTTTTCTTCCATTCTTTCCATTGAGTAAATGGTATGTCTGTCCATCTTGTAGCTCAAGAAACTTGGGACAGTTTTGATTCCCACCTCATGTTCACCCCCTTTCATCAAATTCAGCACCAGTGTCTCTTGATATTATTGCTAAAATACACCTCACTCCTTCCCACATGTCACCCAGGTCCAAGCTCCCCCTGGAATTTTGTACGCACTCAGCACTCAGGTCTCCAGGCAGCGGTCAGAGTGATCTTTGAAATGTAAATTGGGTCCTGGCACGCCTCTGTTTCAAACCTTCTGGGCCAGAATAAAACAGCAGATGCTGGCCTTGCCATTGGTCCTGCACCGCCTCATCACCGGCCGCCTCACCTTCGCTCTCTTCATCTGACACGGCTGCAGCGCCCCCTTGTCGGAGGGCTCCTCCCGCCGCCCTTCCGGGTGCCTGTCCCACCGCGCTGTGCGTGCTGCGCACAGCTGTCTCCTCAGCTGTGTCCGACTCTGTGAGAGCTAGTGGACGGTAGCCCACCAGGCTCCTCTGTCCCGGGGATTCTCCAGGCAAGAATACCGGAGTGTGTTGTCATGCCCTCCCCCAGGGGATCTTCCCAACCCAGGGATCGAACCCATGTCTCCTGCAGCTCCTGCATCGCAGGCAGATTCTTTACCGCTGAGCCACCAGGGAATCCCTCCCACCGGGCTGATGTCCAGCTAAACTCACCTGGAGAGGCTGCCCCTGACCACCTGGTCTCACCTGGGCCCCACCTGATAGTCTGGCCTTCTTCGGCCTGTCCTTTCCTTCACTGTCTTTATCACAGTTTGATGTGTGTGTATGTGTCAGGGTGAGGGGGGTGTCAGAAATGAGGTCAGATGAGGGCCAAGCCTCCCTCCCTTTCTCCTGCCCTACGGCCTGCTCCGGTGGGCAGGCCCTGAAACTCCCGAGCTTCTCTGGTCTTGCCTCAGAGTTGATCTCGGACAAGGTCTACAAGAGCTATGCTGAGGGAGAAGAGAAAAAGAAGCTACTAGCAATTCCAACCCTGTGTCTTTGCCTGTTCACTTCTCGCCCCTATACCCTGATTCCTGGGCTTCATGCCAGCTCCTGCAGAGAAAGGACCCAGACGTGACGGTGAAAGGAAGACCCTGAAGGGGTTGTTGGGTAACGGGAAACATTTGTGCCCCACTTTTGTTTGTCTTATTAAAAGCAGTAAACATCTTTAGCAGAACCTGGAAGGTGCTGCAGGTAAAAGGGCAGGAGGCCTTGGAAAAGCAGGGCCAAGAGAAGAAGTCTCACCAGGCCCAAATAGGCCCAGTGTTGACAGGGAGGAGCCCCACCTCCACCCCTGACTGTGGCTCAGAGTAGGGATGCCCCCTCGTGCTCCCTCCCAGGAGAAGCAGAGCCCCTGATCCACTTACCTGCCATAGGAGGAACCTCCAAATACATTTTCCTATAGAAATGTAACTACATTCGGTGGTAAGTCAGTAGAGTATCATGCTGATGATCAACTGTGGATCAGCCAGGCCATAATTACTTTTTATGATCTTATTACTAAAGAAAAATTTCAAGAGATTTATACAGTGGTTAAATATTGACTATGTGCCAAGAACTGTGCTCATCACTGTACATGTGTTATTATTGCACTTGATCCTTCTGACAACACTAGGAGGTAGGTAGGCCCATTTTACAGGTGAGTAAACTGAGGTTTTAGAGGTTAAGTAACTTTCCCAAGATCATACAGTGAGTAGCTGGTGGCTCTAGGACTCAAACCCAAGTTTGATTTCACATGTTAAACCACTGTGATGAAATTTCAGACATAGCTATTTCTTAAATTAGGAACTACATTTGCCTGAATATCTCAAAGCCCCTTACCATCAACATTTTTTTTAAATCATTCTCTTTATGTCATCACTATGTATTTGTTTGTCCTTTTTGAAAACATTTTTCCCCCCTTGGGTCAAAATAAGTTACTTGGTAAATACATTCATTTGATATTATAAATATTAAGTGCTATTGTGACCATGATGAAAAAAAAGAAGTCAGATTTGGATTTGTTGTTGCATTTTGAAATCTTAATCTTTTTTTCAGAGACTCATCTACATTTAAAGTTTTGTTTATTTCTTACTGAAAGGAAGAAGATTTCTCTCCCCAAGTCAGCTATACTCTGCCTCTGGCTTCGGCACCTTCCCAGTCTTGAAAATACAATGCTGCACCTTTTTGAAAAGCTCATCTCCAGTGAGAGAAATTCTCTGAGAAGGATTGAATGCTTTATGAAAGATTCATTGCTGGTATGTGCCGGGTTCTGATGAGGAGAAAAATCCTTAAAGAAGGTGCTGCATATTCTATGTTTTAATCAGCAAAAGGGGAAAATGTAAATAAATGAGCAGTTGGCACCTTTTAAAATCATCATCTATCTACATTTTATTTTTGAAATACATAATGTCTGGGGCTTTTCTCCTTGTGTTAAAAATAGGGCAAGGGAATTCCCTAGCTGTGCAGTGGTTAGGACTCGGTACTTTCACTGCCTCAGACCTGGATTCAGCCCCTGGATGGGGAACTAAGGTAATATAAGCTGAGTGGCACAGCCAGGGAAAAAAAGAAACCAGTTTATCACTGCACCTTATATTGCACATTCACAAGAATTGACATTTGGCCAATAAATTCCTCATTTCCAGCTTCCTTGATGACTCATATGGTAAAGCATCTGCCTGCAATGCAGGAGACCTGGGTTCAGTCCCTGAGTTGGGAAGATCCCCGGGAGAAGGGAATGGCAACCCACTCCAGTTCTTGCCTGGAGAATTCCATGGATAGAGGAGACTGGCAGGTATAGTCCAGGGGGTCACAAAAGACTCTGACAGGACTGAGCACACAGCACATACCCCATGAACAATATGCTGTTCATCCTCCAAGCAAGAATGCTGGAGTGGGCTGCAGTGCCCTCATCCAGGGGATTTTCCAAACCCAGGGATTGAACCCAGATCTCCCGCATTGCAGGTAGATTCTTTACCAGCTGAGCCGCCATGGAAGCCCTATGAACAACAGGAGGAATCGATTAGCAAAGAAAATCATTCAAAAAATAAACTTCTAATCCTTCACTGGAGGAAAACTCAAATACTTAAAGATACAAAATGACACCCCCAGAAAAATGGTTAAAACAACAAAGTAACTACTAAGAATTCTGTCCCTCATTTTGGTGTCAGGCTGCCATCCTCAAACCCCTGCCTCTCTGCAGGGGCTGCCCAGTCTCCCCTCTAGTCAGAACTTCTCAGGCCTGGGCGGTGCGGTGCTCAGCGGACCAGATGGGCCCCATTGCCTAATCCAGTGGCAGGGGCCCAGGCTAGCCGGCAGTCCTCAGAACCTGACCAATCCGGTGTTTTCCCTCTGTGGGAGGCAGCTCTGGAATTTATGTGCATTTTTTTAGAGTCAGAGTGAAGACCAGTGCACTCTGAATAAACAATTAAAGCTCTCTGGGAGGTGTCCTGCTTCCGGGCCTCCATCTTACAGGAAGCTCGCAGGCTCCAACAGGCTTTCTTACTGGCTTTTGTCACTGAGGGGAGTTATGGTGCAGAGATGTGTTTCCTCTTGTACAGATGAAGAAAGCTAGTAAAAGAGAAATGGTGAACAGTCAGATCTTAAGCTGGTAGCCGGGAACCTGGGCTGGAGAGTGTTCGCCACCCCCTGAGCTGAGACTTGTGCTGGGGCAGGGTGTCTGTCTCTGCACACAGCGCACTGAGGTTGGCTGAGTCTACCCAGCCTCCTCCGGGACACCTTCTGTCTGGTTAATCCAGTTAGAACTTGACGCTTTCGCTCTCTTTCAAATTGGAGGCTGTGTGAGAGAACCATGATTGAATCTGCTGCCTTCTTCCTACATCCCAGCTCTCTTTTCGGGTCCTGATCAGTCCCTACCAGGTCACGAGTGTGACCATGGCCCTGCTTACCTTCTCCCTGTCTCCCAGGCTCCTCTTTGCCTTCCCATCTTGGGGCCTTCAAGGGGACCATGGATAGGGTCACAGTGGCCAGCAGCCATGCTGCGTTCATCTGTAAGTTAGCTGGCCCAAATTGAACCCTACTAATTTAGACGTTTACAATGTTTGATAGAAAAAAGAAAAGAAAATAGATACAAAGATCGAAAGAGCCCAAAGAGAAAGAGTTACTTTTAGGGAAATTTTGCTTGAACTCATCTTTCAAAACAGTTGCATTAAAAAAAAAAAGTTACATATGAATGTGAGAAATAAGAATGTACCTTATGTAAAAATAACTATAATATTCAAAATAAACAAAGGCTTTTAGAAGTCCTGGCAGCCCATTCGAAACATTACCTTTATTGTCAGGTAAATCTATTTCTGACTGAAAGATACATGCTATAATTTCATTTTCTTCGGTCCTTTTTCAGTGGCAAAATATAGTAACTGAGCTATTTCCTTGCTTTCAAGGTCCTTATTAAATTTCTTTAAGTCTTCTCTCCATGGAAAAATTCCAGTTTCATCACCCTAAATTGATTTGATTCTGCAACCTTGTGATTCTTCTCTAAATCTTCTTTGTGCCCTTTTTACCTGTGGCCCTCAGGCCTGAGCCTGTCAGTAAACCCAGGATGAGAGAGAGAGAGAGAAAGCAGGCATTCCGGTTAAACATTGCATTTATAACCTTCAGTCTCCAGTTTATGGTTTAAAATCATTTCCCCCCAAACAGTTTTGAAGTCAGTTGATTTACAAAAGCATTTATCAGGATCATGTGTGTAGAGATTCAGAGCTTCCATTATGGTTAAAGGGGGATTTCAGAGGGTGTTATTGTGTTTAATTTATTGTGGCATTGGCAGGATGTAACCCCTCTGTTGCCTTATGGTTCAAGGGGGTAATTACAATTCAGAGCTGCAAGTCCTTGATTGGCGTGGGCTGCTGTCCTCAGGATCCTGGGCCCCCAGTGCAACACAACCAAGCAGGCTGGAATAAGCCTGTGACGTGACCGAGTGATTGGAAAGGTAACCTGAAGAACGTGCTTCCTGATTGCATCAGCTGCTTCACTTATCAGAGCACGGTATCTCAGGGCTGTGACGGGACCCCGCGGAAGTATCAGAAAGATTTGGAAGACTCGGATAGGACAGGACTGCTGTGCTTTCCTCTAGAAGTAACTTGATGCCTATTACATTAGAGTTGGATTCTGAGAGTAATTAAAGTGTGATGGTCTAGTAACTTGTATTTTATATGGAGCACTGTTAATTATGTTTCCATCTCTCAGGACTATTCAGAATTAGCCTCAAAGTTCTATAGTTACCAAGATGTTGCAAAAACAAAAGATAAACGTGTTGTACAGGTTGTACAGAGTGAAATGATCTCTCCAAATGTTCTGTGGCCTCTCAGGGCCTCGAGGCTGGGTATTTTCCTTTAAGACCATGAATAATAAGGTGTTGACCTAATAGTCACCTGAATTCTAAGTGCGTGCATATGTTTTTTGACTTCTAAAATAAAAGTACATTTTCAAAACCTGTTTCCTTTTGAGGCTCGCTGTTTGACTCTCTTAGGCTGGACCTCCCCCAAGTCCATGGCCACCTGCCACATTTGATGCTCCTAAACAAATCGAGGTCTTGGCCTCAGTTTGTCATCTACTGAGCAGACTGACACTTTGCAAAAGCAGATGGTCCTGTGTTTCCCTTGACAGACAGGCAATGGAAGACTATAATCCATAGCTTCAGATCTGACCTTAAAAACTCATGTCACCAAAAGCAGTGAAAGCCACTTGCTAATTATGCAGCTTTCTTGGCACTGTTTGGTTTCCCAAGGCTGGCCCCGAATCAGAAGGATGTTATGTTTTCCAGTTACAATTCTGTTTGCGGAGCCCAGAAAGCTATTGTTTATATTCTGCATTTGAATGAAAAGTGCTGGCTGGGTGGCACTGTGCTTGGCTGCCCTGCTGCATGCCCAGGCTGGGATATACCCTGGTTCCCATGCCCTCCCGTTCGATCCTTCGTTGGCTGGCCTCACATGCCGCCTGCCCCTCTAGCTGGGTCCAGAGATTTGCCCACGAAAGAGTGCAGGGGGAGGGGGAGGAAGGGGGATTGGTTTTGTTTATTCAGATTTTAAATCAGGAAACATTCCTGGTGTTTCTCTTCATAACTCCACCAAAATTAGTTCTTTATCTTGTCAAGTGTACCTCAATAAAGATAGGGTTAAAAGGTAGTTCTTGATCTAATAAGAACTTAAGAATAACAAACCTGCAGATAACTCAGTGTCCTTGACCTCCCTCATATGAGATAAGATGCGTTCTTGTTTCCATTCTCCAGATAGTAATCATAGCCACTTCACATAGAAAAAGAGACTCATTTTACGCTAAACTCCAAACACAGTTCCCCTTTAATAAAATATTATACTGAAGAATTAACTCTACATCCTGGGTGATGTCAGTTCTCTCTGCTTGAATAACTTCTTACTAGTGTTCTGGGTTTTTTCTTTTCCTGCTTTCTCATTAGCAGTCTTTTAAACATTTCTCTTTTTTTTTTTTTTGAGTTCTTTAATGTGATGCATGTAATGTAACAAAAGCTAAAGTAGATAATTTAGCAGTGATCGAATAGAGAAGTGTGGAGGTGGTTTATGCTTGTGGCTAAAAGGTAAAAAGAAACAACAGTTGCACTTTCCTGCATCGACCTCAGGGGGGCACCAGATCACCCAGCACTGTGAAGAAAAGAGACCTAGATGGCAGGTTGTGTTTTCACTGTTGGGATGCAGGCCTTGGCAGCCAGTCAGGGATGAAGAGAGAGAAACAAACAAAGAAACGAAACGGGGCAGTAGTTGCCCTAGAAGCTCACTGCCACTCAGAGGCCGAGCCAGGAAGCAGCAGGGGGCCGAGGAGCCGCTTCCGCCCCGGCTGCAGCGCCGGGGAGAGGCCGCGGGGCCGGCGCGAGGAGGAACTTGAGGTTTGGGGGACTTTGCTCGCGGCCCTGTGTCTTAACATTCTCAGACAGCGCGGGTAAATTTAAAACACAAAAGTACATTTGGTACTTGTTAAGCTTTTTTCTTCTTTTTTTCTTAAGCCCAGAAATGACAGATTTATCACTAATTAAACAATAATTTCATTATAGAGTACTGAAAAAAAATTGCTGGTAGTATAAACAACATCTGGTAAAGATTAAAAAGAAAGAATAATTTTTCCAAGCTCAAATTTGATGAAAGAAACACAAATGTTTTGAAACAAAATAGATCTTAAAATGCAAAAGGGATATTTACAGTCTTAAGTTTGGTATTTTGAAAGAAGAGAATGGCATAATAAAAAATACATGTTTATAAAGGTGCCTTATTTTATATGACAGATATGAAGATTTTTTTATATATAGGTAGTTTTTTTTTTAGACCAAATTGTTTTTTTAACTCAAAAAAGAGTCTATTGAAATGAAACTTACAAAGAATTTTTTTTTTAAAGAGGAGTGTTATTTTTTTATGAAAGTCACCTTTTAATTTACATACATGGATTAACACAAGGGCTCCTGCCGGTCAAGGGTTTGGATGAGTCAGATGCACAGTGGGATGTGTTGCTGGCCATAAAAATGGGCCATGAAAGAGAATCTCCCCCAGACTTACTGAACTTCAGTTTATTTCTCACCTGAAACTTCTCTACTTTTTAGGAAAAATATGTGTAAAAGGTGATAAATGAAGGAGGCTTGAGAATTTTGTTTCCATGTCTTCACTGCCTTTTTGTTTTTTACAAGAGGGATTAACTTTTCTTAGTGAATTACCTCAAACCATAGTTTAACTTCCTTTTCTGGCTTGTATTCTCTCTCTCCCCTCTCCCCATACTCTCTCCATCTCACACAGATTCAGAAAATGATAGGAAAATAGGAAAGATTTCTTCCTGAGAATTCTCAGGCAGCTAGTAATAATCGTTGATGAACTGGGATGAAAATAACAGGTTAGGCACCAAGGAGGTCTTCTCTGGTAGCTCAGCAGTAAAGAATTCACCTGCAATGCAGGAGCCGCAGGTGACATGGGTTCAATCCCTGAGTCAGGAAGATCCCCTGGAGGATGGCATGGCAACTCACTCCAGTATTCTTGCCTGGAGAATCCCGTGGACAGAGAGGAGCCTGGGGCTGCGGTCCACAGGGTCACAAAGAGTTGGGTCACAACTGAAGTGACTTAGCATGCATGCGTAGACAGCAAGGACAGAGTGAGCATGGATGTTATTTGTGCAGTCCATGGCACAGTGTGACAAGCCGGCCTCTCCCTCACCTCTGCCTCCAAAGCAGCCTAGAAAACGCGGCTGCAGCACGCTTCCCTGTGTTGCTTAGTCTTCCCTTGTTTTTTTGTTTTTCTTCTGAGGGATGAGCATGGGCTGGCTGTCTGGCCAGAGAAGAAACAAGCAGGGCGGTCCTGGGTAGCTGTAGAAGAGGTAAGGGAATGTGCCCCCCAGCGCAACCTGGCCCGTAAGAAAAGGAAACCAGTGTCCAGAGCTTTCCCTCTTCTCCTGTTCATCCTCTGACATTCAGTGAGAGAACTGGGGGCAGTGTGAGAGAAGGGAAGAAGAGCGCAACCGCTTTCATTGACGGCCTCCTGCTAATGAAGTTTCCCTGGACTTGAAATAATCTGTACATGGAAATCGTTAGACCAGATGGAGAAGAGAAGAACTTGAGAAGGAACAGATTTTGGCAGGATGGGGAAAAACAGACAAACAGATGGAACCCAAGAAAGCTTTTCTTTTCTGTCCTCATTCTAGCAGGAAAGATAATTGCTTGGTTTGTGGGGTTCAGAGCTAGGCCCAGAAGTTTGAGTTGCAGAGTGACCTGTTGTGTTACTTTGGGGACCCATTTTACAAATAAAACAGGACACAGAGGGGTTAAATGTTTGCCTCTTCCCTCAGGGATGTGTAAAGATTTGGGGCGGGGTGGGGGGTGGTGGTAATTTATGGCTTCCAAAGAAGCATAAATTAAGACTTTAATTCTATTTGGAGGATTCCCTTGATAAGAAAAGCGGCTTAAGTTTGCTTTTGTGATTTGGTGTCCTTGGGACACATGCCTGGCCTGTGAGCACTCTGGGCTTCATGAGGGGACTCACTGACCCTGAAATTATGTGCTCGGAAAGTGTGAAGAGTCTCATTTTTAAAACCATCAGTAAAGACTGCAGATGAGAAGGAGCTGTTCACAATTCTGGAGTGGCAAGGGAGACTGGTTTTTACATCAAAATCTCTGCCATTGCTGTTTCAGTAGGGTCCCCCTCTCTCCCGGCATCGAAAACAGGCTGTAGAAGCAGGTTAAGGGCAACCACGGTCTGAGCTGTTCGGACAGAAGGAAGTCTAAGAGGAGAGTTGATCGGCATGGAGAGACCAGGCAGATTCCACACAGTCTGTATATTTAAACATATGGCTGAGCTGTTCCACTAGATAACCCTGCAGGAAAGAAGAGCAAGTCCAAGCTCTGGTCCTCTTTTCAACAGAGTTAGAACTTTCTTGCTTTCCCGCTTGCTTTTCAAGGTAGCCTTGTTCTATGCATTGATCAGCCTTTTCTCTGTCATTAGTATAGATTGATTTTCTACTAGCATCAGATTTATGCAGTGGTTCTGGGGTAGTTAGACCATTTAGAACAAAGAGAATGGTTCTATTTTACCGTTTTCAATTTTAGTCTTATTTTCTGTCAGTGCGTTTTTAGCCTCTGTGTCACATGACGGTGTTGTTTGGTTCTTAAACACTCTTATTCAAGAGCCATATTGTCTATATATAAAACTTGGAAAAACTGTTCTGGCACATTTGATGAGTCACATTTCTTCAAGATAGGCAGTTTGCTTTTCTCTTCTTGTTTGATAATTTCCATTATGAATACATAGAAACTTCCGTGATATTTTCTGGGCATATATCCAGTGACCTTTTAATAACTGTTAGTATTTACAGTGAGGCTGAGAAGCAGGGAGATAACTGACTTGTTTGAGATCAAAGTCAAAAAATACTCTGCGTCTCTTCTGTTGAACCATCAATCAGCCAAATTATTCTCTTGGGTATGTAATGAATTTAATCCATGAAAAATTTTAGTTGATTTCTTTTAGATAAAAATGGACATCAATGAAGTCCATTAGGGAGTATAGATTACTCTACCTAGAAAGCAGAGATTTGCATCCTACAAATCATAAATCTCTTCAAATAAAAGGAGTTATCCCATCCTTTTAACAAGTGGTAATGCTCTTTCCTGGAGCCTTCTGTGACAGCTGTAATGGCGGGGTGTGAACACTAGATGGCACACGTTCAATGTTATTGTACATCGAGAAATGCCAGCACAGAAGTGTGGAAGCTGCTGGAGATAGGCACCATTCTTTAGCCTGGCCTAGAAAAGTTAAGAGAAGATATATATCCTTTTTTCTGTTTTTCTTGTTGAAGGGGTATGAAAAACTGTTCCCCAAAGCTCAATGTGACTCAAAGAAATTCCATATAAAGCCTAATTTACTAACCTGTGGATGCTGCTGTATTATATCTGTTTTAGAACACCCATGGCATCTTCCTCTAGCTTAATCTCATGGTATGAGCTCCAGCCAGGATGATATGGGATCATGGAAATTTGCCGATGGTCTGGTAGTTAGGGCTCTGCTCTTCCACCACCAAGGGCCCAGGTTCGATCCCTGGTTGGTGAATTAAGATTCCACAAGCCATGCGGCCAAAAAGAAAAAGAAAAAAGAAAACAAAAAGATATGGAATCTGGGTTAGGCCCTCTGAAGCCCCACCCAGGCCACAGTAAGTTGGCTTCTGCAGATTTAAATCATCAAAACTGTCATAAAAATATTAATGGATTAAATTGAATGGCTTTCCTTATTCAATATGATAGTATCTTTATTTTTTCTTCATCCTAAGTAATTTAAGCTGCTAAATTCATAGTGCTCTAAGATGTAATATTATTTAGTCTGGCATGGTGGTGGTCACTGCTTTCCTTAATAATAATTTGAAATTACTATGTACTCATTTCCTAATCAGTAGGAATGAAAAGATAACAGGATAACTTCGACCTTGAGGCACTTTTAAGTCATGTGAGGAGATCAGACACATAGGGAACATTACCTAAAGCTAGCAACACAGGGCTTCCCTGTGACTCAGATGGTAAACAATCCATCTGCTATTCAAGAGACCTGGGTTTGATCCCTGGGTTGGCAAGATCTCCTGGAGGAGAGCATGGCAATCCACTCCAGTATTCTTGCCTGGAGAATCCCCATGGACAGAGGAGCCTGGTGGGCTACAGTCCAAGGGGTCTCAAAGAGTCGGACACGACTGAGCGACTCGGCACAGCACAGCCCAGCAACACGGGTGGGCTGTGTGTCTTCATCATGGCCTGCTGGCAGATGGTATTTTCTAATTTCCCGTGATACTTATTGACTCTTTTTTGTGTATCATGTGGGCTTATTGTTGAAAATGTGGAATTTACAGAGTATAAGTTGAATAAAGAAGAAGAAATGCTGTCCATAATCCCCTTACCCCAAGAGAACTTCTGTTTGTATTTGTATGGAGGTCTTTTGCCATGAACTAGTTGTTTTTCTTCCTAACTCAAAGGTATAGATCCATTTTCTAGACACCAGCAGTTGTGGACAACTCATTTCCCTGATAAGAGCGAGTCATTATTGATGAAATGCTTCTGATATTTTACTTTCTCATGGTCTTTTCCTTTACAGCCTGAAGCTGCTGCCTGCCACCCCGCCATATTCAGAGTTGTTGATGAAATATTCAGGTAAATATTGTGCTGTGTCTGCTCATAATTGGTCTAAATATGTTCAGCTTCCAAATATGAATAAAAAATATGAATAAAAAATCCTGTGGTAGTCTCTGGCTCTACCATGGGGAAATTAGATTCTAATTCCATCCCATCCTGCTGAGCTTTTTGATAAAACACAAATGTCAATGGGTATTTAAAAGCCAATGCCTGAGAATTAAGATAACTCTTTTTTTAAAACCTTTTAAAAATCTAATAATAATGGTTGAAAATCAGAATTGAATTAGATTTTGCATCACGCATTATTCATGTAGAATTTTTCTCAATTAAAAATAAAGGGTAGTAGTGTTCTCCCTTCACCACATGAGGGCTGACCAATCTTTTTAAAGCTAAGGAACGCCAAAAATAATAAATAAATAATGCCATTCTTAACGGAGCACTTCTGAAAGGCAGAATCAACTATGCATGTTATCTAACAGCATGCTAAGTTTTATTCTGCAAATACGAGAACTTCTTGGTAAATGCAATGGATTTACAACGATGAAAGATGAACTCACTGCACCCCAGGCTGGGTTATGACTGACAGTTAGTGAGGGGCCAGACCCCTCAAGGGGAGCTTACCCCCAGTGGACAGGGGGGTGGCCAGCCTCTTTCCTGGGTGCTGGTGCAGCCAGGGCCAGGGTATCTACCCTCTTTATCAGGTCCCCCTCAAACTCAGCAAGTAGAGGCCCCACGGCAGACAGCAGACATTGGGAAAAGGAATTTTTACAATAGCAAGTAATCCAGCACTTACGTTGGTCTTAAAACATATAAGCTTTAAGCTAAATGAGTGTAGAAATAAGTCAGAATGCTGTTTTTAGTTTAAAGCTAGCAAAGTTTCAGTTGATTTGTGTGTGTGTGTGTGTTGTTTAAACAAACATAAAGAAAAATTAGTTGTATGAAAATGCATAGAAACCAAACCAGGAACATGCAGATTATTCTTCCACCCCTTTGCTGGATGGATTTAACTGAGCCATTATAACCCTGGGGCACCCCTTTCTCCACTTTCAAAAGCAAAAGGTCTATGGATGTTCCATTTGTGGGCATAGAGTGTGCAAATATTTGTAAAGAGCATCCCAGGCCCATGTGGAAGAGATATGAAGTGCTTAATAATTTAAAAACCAAGAAAGGGAGCTCTGCACATTGCAATTTTAAAGGAAGTCTTTAGAAAAGGGAGTGACAGATTTCTCCTGCTTTCATGCAAGAACTGAAATCTGATGAGCTGACATTGCTGTTGAAGCTTATGGCACAAAAAGAATGTTTCCGTGTTTCCCTTTTACATATTTTGGTTCACATATTTTCCAGATTAATCACTGAATGTGTTGTGATCTGGCCTTGCGTTGTTTAGGTCCGCACTCCTGGAAACCGATGGAGCCGCAGAAGTACTAGCCTGCATTCAGGTGTTTACACGATGCTTTGTAGAAGCTCTGGAAAAAGAAAACAAGCAGGTTCGTTATATTGCAGATATTATTCATTCCCCCAAGGAAAAAGAGGCTGTTAAGAGTATTTGATTACTCACCAGAAAAGAGCACTTTACTTTCAGTGATTTTGATAGACTGTTTTGTTCATGGAGAAAGTTTCCAAACAAATACAAAGGCAAAGGCAAAATCATTTTGTGTGTGTCCTCAGTCGTGTCCAACTCTGCAACCCCATGGGCTGTACCCGCCAGGTTCCTGTGTCCGTGGGATTTCCCAGGCAAGAGTACTGGAGTGGGTTGCCATTTCCTCCTCCAGGGAAAATCGTTCTAATTGAAAGTAAATCAAGATGGTTCCTATCTGTCCCATGTCCTGGTACCCAGAAGCATTTATCTATTGCTGTGCAGAGAACTCTACCAGATGATCAGGTGCCACCCCAGAGGGTGAACTTTCTGGGCCCTGTGTTGTATACTGTTTGTTGGGTAGAACTCTGCCCCTCCCAGGCCAGAGGGAGGTGTTCTAGAGTCTCTATGGCATGTGCTAAGAAGGAAATGGCACTTATTATAAAGCAGTGCTGGACATTCTTAATTATTAGTTTACATTCATATCAGAGGCCTAAAATGTGAACTGGATTCCAGGAGAGATAGGAGGTAGTGAGTATGACACTATTCAGTTATAATTTGAATAACTATAGAGGAGGAGCTAGGAATGGCCATGACCAAAATGTGTGAATTGGACTCAGTCAGTAAGCAAGAAGCTGGGCCTAGGGACCTGCAGGAAGACTTGCACTGGGAGGGCGGTCGGCAGAGGCAGCTGAACAGTTAGGGTGACCTGTGAAACTGGAACCTTTTCTACCAGAGTTTTCACTTTTGGGCATTTTGATTGGCCTGCACATCTAATGGCCACAGACCTGATGTCTGTGTGGTATTTTGTCCGTTGAAGTGCCCGAACCCTCTGCAGTTTCTTGTGAGGTCATGATCCCTTGGGATACTTTCTGCAGTTTGCTTTAGGGGAGCAGTGCTATGATGCCTGCTCTACTAAAATCCCGTACACCCCTATGCCAAGAAACCTCTCAGGTTTTAGCAGATGTTTCTGTTTTTAAGGCAGTGATAAATATTTATGATGTTTTTTCCCTATCTTCTCCTTCCCTAGGGAAGTGAGCTAGACTGTAGCAAACAGCATTATCAATGGTGCCCAGCCTGGAATTCTGGAGGAGAGCTCTGCTGAAAGGCACTGGTTGGCCCTCATGCTTATTTTGAGGCAAACTATAAATATCTTTTATCCTCCCTGAACATTCTTTGTTTTTCTAGTTAGGAACCAACCTCTAAAAAACCTGCACCTTGAACTCTTGGAGCAGACTGAGGTTGGGGTGGAGGGCATTGGTAAAAGAAGTGTTGCTCTGTACCATTAGCTTGAGTCTGTCTTTCTTATCAACTTTGTCCTTGAGTTGCAGGTGGGCCTTAACACTTTAGGTTTAGACTTATAGTCATTTTTAATTTAGAATAGTACCCTGCCCACGTGCCACTAGTGGTAAAGAATCTGCCTGCCAGTTGGGGAGATGCAAGAGATGCAGGTTAGATCCCTTGGAATAGGAAATGGCACCCCATTCCCGTATTCTGGCCTGGAAAATTCCATGGGCAGAGGAGCCTGGTGGGTTATAGTACATGGGGCCACAAAGAGTTGGACACGACTGAGTGATTGAACATACACCCTACCCAGGCTACATGTATCTGGTGGTGTAAGGGACACAGAATGGGTCCTGGTGGAAGGCAGAGCAGGGATCCAAAAAAAAAAAGCCAGAAGTTCACTGTCCTTCCCTTGGGCTCGGGATGCAAGAGCAATAGCCTCTTAGCTTTGTAGATGCCTTCATCCCCGTGTGTCGTGTCGTGTCTCTTCCGGGGGCTGTTCCTACTGCCTGCCCCTTGCCTTCCTGAGTGCCCCTTCTTAGATGAATCATAATCCCTGACGCATGACACCCTCTGTCCTAAGTGATCCACATGAACCCTCTTTCTTTCTGTGTTTTATTCATTCATCCACATATTCATTATGAATAAATGAATATCTACCAACCTGACATCTAACAAGACCTGGTCCCCTAGTAGAAACTTCAGGTTATTCCCCTGCTCCTCTATCCTATCATCCTGACTTTCTCCCTTCAGGTAACTGCTGTCCTTTATTTTATCTGAAAACAGTTTGATCATGTATATGTTGTTGTTGTTTAGTAGCCAAGTCATGTCCAACTCTTTGTGACCTCCTGGGCTGTAGCCCGCCAGGCTCCTCTGTGCATGAGATTCTCCAGGAAAGAATACTGGAGTGGGTTGCCATTTCCTTCTGGAGAAGGTCTGTCTTCCCAACCCAAGGATTGGAACCACACCTCCTGAGTTGGTAGGCAGATTCTTTACCACTGAGCCAACCTGATCATGTATATATGATTGTTAGACCATGTTTTCTTTATTTGTGATTGTTTTTGCGCTTCATAAAGCAAATGACAGATGAAAGTGGTACTGCGTGTGCAGTCTTCCGAGTCTTGTTCTTCCCAGCAGTGTGTCGCCAGGCTTGCTCTATGCTGTGGGTGGTGGTGGGGATTGCATGTAGTGCTCTGTGGGGAGAGTGTATACAGTGCAGCTGTCTTCCTGGTGGTGAGCTTTTGGATTATTTCCAGTTTTTTTTTTTTTCATAAATAGAGTTTCTCTGAACATTCAAGACATACTTAAGTGTGCTAGTGCTGGTTATTAGGTGTGCAAAGGCAGCTTTGGTGGATACTGCTACATTGTTTTCATACATGGTTGTGCCAGTTTACATTCCCCCCAGCAGTTATGAGAAATCCCATCAATCCGCATTCTTTCCCATTGTCAAAAATGTTTATCTTCAGTGCTTCTCATTTTCTTTTTTATCCTTTCCTCTCATCCTTGTTTTATTTGGAGAGCATAGTTGCAGCCCCATCAATGTGCCCAGTCAGACTAGTAGCCAAAACCTTACGGCTGTCATGACAGGCCTCTTTCCTGAACTTGCCTAATAGCTCCAGGACAAGCAGCCAATCAGTTCAGGTTCTGGTTCTAGTAGTGACAGAGCTTAATAATGCATTGGACTAAATCTCCTGCAGATAAAAATTATAAACTCTGGAGAAAATATTTTTAAAAAATGATTTGAAGGTACTGGAAAGCAACCCAAAAAGCAGATAAAAACTGGAGGGGTTTAACTCTTAAAAACGTAAACCACATTGGGTAATCTTCTAACTTTTCCCAGAGGGCTGTCATGTGAGGGGTGGGAAGGAGATTAAAAGAGGCTGGGGTGGCCCGAACCCAGGGCATAATCTGATTGGCTTGAGGTGTCAAAAGACAGAGTTGTGGGCTGCCAGAACAAAAAACAGATGAGGCAAAAGAAACATATCAAAAGGTAAACCTAGGGACTTACCTAGTAGTTCAGTGATTAAGAATTCGCTTGCCAATGCAGGGGACATGGGTTCAACCCTTGGTTTTGAAAGATCTCACATGCTACAGAGCAACTAAGCCCATACACCACAACTTCTGAGCCTGCATGCTCTGGAGCCCGTGCTCCACAACAAGGGAACCACCGCAATGAGAGGCCTGGGCCCCCCGATGAAGAGTAGCCCCCACTCACTGCAACTAGAGAAAGCCCACACACATCAACAGAGACACAGGGCAACTGACAAATAAGTAAATAAATAAATAAAAATTTTTTAAAAAGCAGATCAAATATACCTACAAGTACATTAATTACAAAAACTAAGTGAAAGTCAACTAAATATACTAGGTAAAAAGGAAATAGACTGAATGAAAAGCTAAGACCCACTATACGTTGTTTTCAAGAAATCTATTCTAATTATAAAGACACAGACTGAAAGGAAGGAAAGAGACATGTTATGTAAATAATAAACACAAGAAAGCTGGTCTGGCTCTACAAGCAGCAGACAGATGAGGTTTTAAGGTAAGGAGTATGGACAGACAAAAAAGAGGGACAGTTTATATAGTTAATCAGGAGAAAAACCAATTACAAATGGATACATGCCTAATAACAGAGGTCTGAGATACACAAAATAAAAACTGAGAGAAGTAAAAAGAGAAACAGGCAACTCCACAGTAACACATCAAATACTTGGGAGAAAATTTAACAAAAGGTGTATAAGATCTCTACGTGGAAAACCACAAAATAAGAAAACTTAACCATATGAAGAGAAACCATAATCATGAATCGTTGAGATCCCTGGTTCAATGTGATCCTAGTTAAAATCCCAATGTAGTTTTTAAAACAGAAATTTATGGGCTGAATCTAATGCAAAGAACCTATAGTAGCCAGGATAATTTTGAAAAGAAAAAAAAAACCCTCCCCCCCAAATCAGAGGATTCACACTGATTTCAAGACTTTAAGCTACAGGAATCACATTCAAGACAGTGAGGTACTGGCAAAAGGATAGATCAGTGGAACAGAATAGTGTCTAGATATTTTCTTGCAATCAACTGATTTTTGACAGAGATGCCAAGGAAGTTCAGTGTGGAAAGTTTTCAACAAGTGGCACTGAAACGACTGGATGCCCAGATGAGAAAACATGGAGCTCCATGTCACAAACAGGAAACCTCATTTGAGATGGGCCATAGCCCTCAAAATAAGTGCCGAGACCATAAAGCTCCTAGGAGAAAATGAGGAGAGTATCTTTTTTGACATTAGGATAATCTAATATTTCTTAGAAGGAATGTAGAAAAGCACTAAGCAGTATGAGAAAAATGTATAAATTAGACTTCATCAGAATTTAAAATGTCTGGTCTTTGTAGACATCCTTAAGAAAATGAAAAAGCAATCCACCCGGCAGGTAAAAAATATTCTCCATACATATATCGAATAGGGGATTTGTGTCCAGAATATATAAAGATCTTTTACAACTCAAGAACATAAGAAAAATCTCAGTTTTAAAACTGGACAAAAGACTTGAATACACACTTCAAAAAATATGTATAAAGTAAAAAGTAAAGTCTCTCAGTTGTGTCTGACTCTTGCAACCCCACGGCCTATAGCCTGCCAGGTTCCTCTGTCCATAGGATTCTCCAGGCAAGAATAGTGGAGTGGGTTGTCATTTCCTTCTCCGGGGGATTTTCCTGACCCAGAAATTGAACCCAAGTCTCCTGCATTGCAGGCAGATTCTTTACCAACTGAACTACAAGGGAAACCCGACAAGTATGTGAAGCAACTGGAATTCTCGTAAATTGCTGACCAAAGTGTGGAGTGGTATAACCACTTCAAAAAGTTATATGGCAGTTTCTTACAAAGTTAAACAAGCATCTACTCTACGACCTAGTAATTCCATTCCTATGGTATTTACCCAAGAGAAATAACAGCACATGTCCACAAAAAAAGACGGAAATATGAATGTTAATTGCATCTTTATTCATAATAAAACCCAAACTGGAAACAATCCAAATATCCATCAATGGGAGAATAAATAAACAGATTATGGTATATTCATACAATGACTACTTTAGAACAACTTTTCTTAAAAAAATGAAGTATTTAATCCACAGTAACAAAGATGAGTCTCAAAAGAACATGTTGAGCCAAGGAAGTCAGACAGAAAAAAACACACACTCTTATGATTCCATTTGTACGAAATTCAAGAATATACAAAACTAATCTCTCTCATCAAAATAAAAACATCAAATGCCGGGGTGGGGTGGAGGGATTGACTGGAACAGCTACAAGGGAACTTTATAAGGTGATCAAAATGTTCTGTGTCTTGATTGGAATGATGGTCATGTTGGATTTACACATTTACCAAAAGTCTTCAAATTGTACACTTAAAGCCCTTACAATTCACTGTAGACAGATTTTACCTCAGCTTTTAACAAAAGTACTTCAAAGCTGCTGTGCCTTCCGAGGGCGTAGAGGGTACAGCACTTTGGCCCTCAGAGTATGTTGTGAGGGCTAAAAAACTGTTGTTTTTTGATAACTCTCACATAAATAAAGTTATGTATATAATTGGGTTCATGTGAGGTAAAGAACTGATATAAAGACATCAAGAGCATAACTTTATTTTTCTTAAGTCCTGGAAGGCATCTTTAAAAAGGCTTAATTTTTTGGAACATATTTATAAGATTATGAGAAGCATCTTTTATTTTTGATCAGTGTGTAAGACATTATGACCACATAAAGTACTAGAATTTCTTTTTGGGGCAGAGGATGCAAGATTTTATATTTCCTTAATACCTTTTCCAATGCTAATGTTCAAACGGCTTTAAATTTTTTGTTCTATTTTAGTTGAAGTTTGCACTCAAGACCTACTTTCCTTATGCTTCTCCATCGCTTGTCATGGTGCTCCTCCAACACCCGAAAGGTATGTGAAGGTTGATTCTGCCCATATTAGAATAATCTTTGGGAAAGTACAGTGATAAAATCATAACCCTTTCCTCCCAGTTCCTTATCTGTAAAACCAGGGAGATGGATAAATGTTCCTCTAAACTCTTCAGCGTCACATTCTGTGGATTTTGATATGAGAATTTGCTTGGCTTCCCAGTTACGATCATTTAGTAAAAGAAAGGAAAACAATGGCCTCTAGTTGCATTTTGACAGTCTGTTCTGGTTAACACAAAGCCTCTGCTGGTGCCAGGAAGGTCCACCTGGATGCCAGGAACAGGCTAAGACTTGGCTGATTTGGAATAAAACAGTACATTTATCTGTATTTCATTCTTTCTTCTCTGTGTCCCCTGCTGCAAATGAAAAGATAAAATGATGAATGAAGCTAAGGAAATCTAGGGGAAATTTCTCCTAACCTAGCCAAAGGAAGTCTTTTGAAAGAATTCAGTAAGTGTGTTAGACCACAGCCTTCTGTGATTTCATTTGCCAGCCTTCCAGAGGCCATATTCATTTGGGGAAGTGATGATTCCGTCCTCATTCAACTGATGTTGATCTGTTAACATGCCTGTGAGCTCCTGTTTATGAAGCGTTTCAGAAATAGAGAATACAGACATCCTTCCCCACTAATGCCTGAAATCTAAAGAGAGGTGATGCTGAAACAAGACAGACCCTATGCTGTAGAAAAAGGCGTTTCATCTGACCATGGAACAATAGGAAGAACCCATAGTACGTCCTTTTTGTGCCGTTTTCCCCTACCTTTTTTTCCCTGAGACTTGAGTAAGTAGATTCACTTGAGAAAGTATGATCTGAGGTTTCAGAGCATTTTACAAAATCAAAAATACTCTTCCTTTTTCTAAAAGACTAAGTTCTCACCCAAAGTGACCCACTTGACACTGTCCTCTCAGATGCTAGAGGTAGAGGTGGACACAGGCCTGGTGGGATCTCTGGTCAGCAGTTTTGTGGAACTTAACCTGTGGGAACACAATGGGAAAACTTTAATAAGACAGGAGCATCAGTGATTCACTTTCCAGGGGCACGTCTCACAGCCCAGGTCAGATCAGCAAAGTCCAAGGTCAGCCTATGTAATAAGCAGCTAAATGAGCTCCACAAAAAATATCAGGGTTGTTATTTTTTAAGTTTGGACATCTATAAACTAAAGACTATTTGTGCTGGTTCCTAGAACAATTTTCTGCATATTACTTTTGGAAAAAATAATGTTATATCCACAGATTGAAGGGTTTCTTAAGAGTAGAGTCTTTTATTCATCAAAAATTGATTTTATGCCCACTGTAAAGTCCTATGAGGTATAAAAGATGAGTCACTTATGAACCCTGACTATCCAGGAGCTACAAGTAAAAGAGACATAAAATAACTATCTAAAAAACTAATAAAAGGAGAAAAGGAAAATGCCTTGAAAGGCTGCAAATCAAGAGTTACGAGAACTCAGAAGAGGGAGAGAGATAATTTATGATTCTTTAATCTGTAGCATTTGTGGGGGAGTAGTGGTTCCTGTATCACTTACATTATCTTTCTGGTGTATTTAATTACAGAATCTATCACTACATGGAAATGTGATAACCTTTTTCAGCTGTTGTTTAAAACTACAGAAACATACGTGCTCAGAAGTGTTTAAGACCATGGGAAAAATGTGAAACCAGAAAAACTAACTTAAGAAAAGACATTTGTCTTTGTCTGTATAATATCCATATATTTTTTTCTAGCCTTTAAAAAAATTGTGAACCTGAAGTTGTATTCTAAATTGTTGGGAAACACATTCCTAATTCCTTATTGACTATTTTTTTTTTAAAAATATATATTTTGAAACCACAAATTATTAGTGATAGGTGAAGGGGTGGGTGAGTAGAAAAGAAAAAAAGCTGGGCATCTCCAACATAGCCTTCCTAATCCTACAGCGGACTGCCTGTGCAGTCTCATGTACCTGAATTAAAGAGCCTTTGAAGTTTAGCTCTGTGTAACACTAACAGGTCTTTATTCCCAGGCCTGAGAGATGGTTCTGGCAGGGATCAGCTTGAGGGTGGTGGGATGGATTCCATGGGCCAGGAAAAGTAGGCCTTTCCCCTAAGCGGGCCCCTTCTGGTCTCCACTGCAGTTGATTCCTAAGAGGCTTGACTTTTCTCCAGCTCCTCTCTGATAGCTCTCTCCACCCACAGATATTCCGCGGGGACTGTGGCACCAGCCACTGACACATATCTCTGAAATGCTCAAAGAAATAGTTGAAGACCACGGGTAAGCAAAGACCAATGACTCCGAGATCTCTTTCACACGTGGTTTCTCTGGTATCCTTATCGTTCCTGTGAGCAAGCCTGACAGGGGAAGGCATTGCAAGCATACCTCGGAGATATTGCAGGCTCGGCTCCAGACCACGGCAATAAAGTGAATCACATGACCTTTTTGGTTTCCCCGTGCATATGAAAGTTAGGTTCACACTGTCCTATAGTCTATTTACTGTTCAGTGGCATTATATCTTAAAAAATCATATACATACCTTAATTTAAAAATCCTTTATCGCTAAGCAGTGGCAGTGACTGGTGTTCTTTTTGCTGGTGGAGGATTTGCCTTGCTGCTGTTGCGTGACCAGGGTGGTAAATGCTCAAGGTTAGAGTGGCTGTGCAGGTTTCTTAAGACAGCATGGAGTTTGCCACACCAGTTGACTCTTCCCTCCACAACTGATTTCTCTGTAACATGCAGTGCCTTTTGATAGCATTTTACCCACAGCAGAGCTGCTTTCAAAATTAGAGTCATTCCTTTCAAACCCTGTCACTGCTTTATCATCTAAGTGTATGTGATATTCTAAATGCTGCGTTACCATTTCAGCAGTGTTCACAGCAACTTCACCAGGAATAGATTCCACCTCAAGAAACCACTTTCTTTGCTCATCTGTAAGAGGCACATCCTCATCTGTTAGAGTTTTATTGTGAGACTGCAGCCATTCTGTCTTCAGTCTCCACTTCTAGTTCTAGTTCTCTTGCTGTTTCCACCATATCTGCAGTCACTTCCTCCACTAATGTCATAAACCCCTCATAGGCATCCATGAGGGTTGGAATCAACTTCTTCCAAACTCCTGTTAATGTTGATATTTTGACCTCTTCCCATGAGTCACAAGTGTCCTTAATGGCATCCACAGTGGTGAATCCTTTCCAGAAGGTTTTTTGCTTACTTTTGCCCAGATCCCGTGGAGGAATCACCCTCTATACCAGCTATTTGTTTTGTTTTGTTTGTTTTTTAAGTCATTAAGTTATATCTGGCTCTTTGTGACCCTACGGACTATAGCCCACTAGGCTTCTCTGTCCATGGGACTTCCCAGGCAAGAATATTCCTCCAGGGAATCTTCCCGGCCCACGGATTGAACCTGCATCTCCTGCATTGGCAGGAGGATTCTTTACCCCAAGTCACCAGGGAAGCCCATGGCAGCTACAGCCCTGTGAAATGTTCTTCTTAAATAGTAAGAGTTGAAAGTCAACATGACTCTTTGATTCATGGACTGCAGAATGGATGTTGTGTTAACAGGCATGTAAACAACATTCATCTCTTTGTACATCTCCATCAGAGCTCTTGGGTGTCCAGGTGCAATGTCAATGGGCAGTATTATTTTGAAAGGAATCTTTTTTTTCTGAGCAGTAGATCTCAACAGTGGGCTTAAAATATTCAGTATGTTCAGTCACTCAGTCATGTCCAACTTTTTGTGACCTCATGGACTTCCTCTGTCCATGGGATTCTCCAGGCAAGGATACTGGAATGGCTTGCCATTTCCTCCTCCAGGGAAAATATTCAGTAAAACATTGTAAATAGACATGCTGTCATCCAGGCTTCATTGTTCCACTGACTGAGCATAGGCAGAGTAGATTTAGCATCATTCTTCAAGGCCCTAGGATATCCAGAATGGTAAATAAGCATTGACTTTAACTTGAAGTCACCAACTACATTAGTCCCTAGCAAGAGAGTTAGTCTGTCTGTTGAAGCTTTGAAGCCAGGCATTGATTTTTCCTCTCCAGCTATAAAAGTTCTAGATAGCATCTTCTTCTAATATAAAGCTATTTCATCTATATTGAAAATGTGTTGTTTAGTGTAGCCACCATCATGAATAACTTGCTGCAGCTTCTACACCAGCACCTGCTGCTTCACCCCTCACTTTTATGTTGTGGAGATGGCTTCTTTGCTTAAACCTCATGAACCAACCCATGCTAGCTGCAGACTTTTCTTCTGCAGCTTCCTCACCTCTCTCAGTCCTCACATAATTGAAGAGTCAGGGCCTTACTCTGATTCGGCTTTGGTTTAAGGGACTGTTGTAGCTGGTTTTGATCTATCTATACCACTACAGCTTTCTTCATATCAGCAATAAGACTGTTTTGCTTTCTTATCCTTCATGTGTTCATGAGAGTAGCACTTTTAATTTCCTTCAAGAACTTTTCTTTTGCATCCACAACTAGGCTAACTGGTGCAAGAGGCCTATAGCTTTCAGCCTATCTCAGCTTTAAACGTGCTTTCCTCAATGAGCTTTATGATTCCAACCTTTTGAAGTAAGAAATGTGCAGCTGTTCCTTTCACTTGTACACTCAGAGGCCACTGTAGGGCATTGTGGCTGTTGCTCAATGTGTCTGACTCAATCATGTTGCTCAGTTGCTCAGTCGTGTCTGACTTTTTGCAACCCCATGGACTGCAGCATACCAGGCTTCCCTGTCCTTCATCATCTCCTGGAACTTGCTCAAACTCTTGTCCATTGAGTCAGTGATGCCACCCAACCATCTCATTCTCTGTCATCCCCTTCTCTTCTTGCCTTCAATCTTTCCCAGCATCAGGGTCTTTTCCAATTGAAGAAAAGGACATTAGTTGGAGTAATTTCAATATTGTTGTGTCTCAGGGAATAGGGAGGCCCAAAGAGAAGGAGATAAGACAACCAACTGGTAGAGCAGTCAGAACACACAGATTTATCATTTTAAGTTCATCAGCTTATATGGGCACAGTTCATGGTACCCCAAAACGATTACAGTAGCAGCATCAAAGATCACAGATCACCATGATCAATACAATGGAAAAGTTTGAAATATTAAGAGAATCACCAAAATGTACACAGAAACAGGAAGTGAGCAAATGCTGTTGGAAAAATGAAGTCAGTAGACTTGCTTGATGCCAGGTTGCCACAACCTTCAATCTATTAAAAAAAAAAAAAATCACCATTTTCTGTGGAGCGCAGTAAAATGAGGTATGGCTGCATTGGTCTGTTACCATCCCCAAACAGGCAAACACATTGCTGAGTAAGAAGTGGAGGAAGCACTGCAAGCAGCTCAGAATAAGTAGGCTGCATGTGTAAATACCTGGCCTAGAAGCTGTTGTGAGTAATGGCTGGTTTTAGATTTTGAAATGTACAGGTATAACAATACATAGAATAGACTTTAGGAAAAATGCACTGCTCAAATGCTGCATCCCGCACCCACGCCCCTCCCCTGGCTTGCAGAACAAGAATGGCATCTCTCTAGGCCCTTCTGTCTTCTCTGCCTCTTTAGGGAAGGAAATTCTAAACTTCTCCTGCATGGTAGGATGAAATGTTTCTTTTCCTCCTCTTTAGTAATAAATTTTTGTCTGAAGTTAGAAAATCCGTTCTAACATAATTTCTAATATTATATTAGATAAATATAACATTAGGGAAATAACACACATTATTTCCCTAGAACCACTCACATTTAGACTTTGCTAAGTTCTCTGCAACATAGTGCCCTCCGGCTTCCTCTTAACTTCCTTGCTTTTAGAGTATTTTATTCATTGTCTATACTAGTCTATGCAGGTAGATGTTAAGAGACCCAGTTCGATCCCTGGGTTGGGAAGGTCCCTTGGAGAAGGAAATGGCCACTCACTCCAATGTTCTTGCCTAGAGAATCCCATGGACAGAAGAGCCTGGCGGGCTGCAGTCCATAGCGTCACACAGAGTCGGACACGACTGAAGTGACTTAGCATCCGTGCACGCACACTAGTCTACTAAGACTCTTTATTTGTTCCCTTTGCCACTTTTCCTACTTGAAATTCTCTATAATCTCATTACTGGCCTTCACAAGTTGTGACCGGTGCTCTTCTGCTTATCATCACTGATGCAGGTTTGGGTGCCAATTACTCACCCCACCCCAAGACTCTTACCAGCAGGAGAGACAGACAGCCAAGTGGGCATCAGAGGACTGGCCGTATTAATGACCTGCCATGCCCTGGCAGCCCCTGATGCACAGTCTGGATATCTGTGTTGAAGAGCAGGACTGAAGCCACAAACTTCTTAGGGGTCCCGCCTAAACCATATCTGCCTCTACTAGGCTTCAGGCCACCTGCTGGGAGGGGTCTGGGAGCAGCTTTAGGCACTTTCTCAGCCAGCCCCGTGGGACTGCCTTGCACAGTCAACTGCTAGAGGAAAGGAGGGCAGATTCCCAAGCCTTGAACCGTGCTCCACACGGGAGGCCCATGTGGGAGCAGGGGGCATGGGGGAGACCCTGCTCAGCTTACTCGTTGTCCGTGAGGCCTGCAGGAAGGAGACCCCGTGGAGCCTTTTCCTTGCTTTTGGGCCATAACCCAGCCCACCACTCAGGTGGCCCCTGGAGCATCAGCTCGCCCTCTTGTGGGGACAAGGGAGTAAAAGAATGCTCCCCTTTGTTCCTTTTCTGTCGCTGTTTGGCAGACTCGATTTCAGAGTTTACCCACTTGTTCTTTGGGGACAGGAGGAAAACAGTGGCTAGAGGGGTGGGGACAGTGCTGGCTCCAGGAGTCCATGAGCCAAGCAGAGAACTACGAACCCAGATCCAACAATGATGGAGCACTGCAAAAGGGGCCTAGGGCTGTCCTGTTCTAGGCGCTTCCCCGCTTCAGAAGGAAGATTCTGCCCCCCGATCTCAGGCCAGTCCTCCTCCATTTCTCCCACGGGAGACGTTAAGCAGCTAGGACTGTCTCTGAGCAAAATTAGTGGGTCTTTACCTGAAGCAGAATCTGTCCTTTATTCCAACTCCCGGTTTCCTATGTGACAAAAGGACACCTTCACAAAAGCTTTAACTTTTCAGCACTGATGAATACATGATGAGAGGAAAGAATTTGTTATACAGCTCATTGAACGGTTCTATGAAGACCTACAAGACCTTCTAGAACTAACACCCAAAAAAGATGTCCTTTTCATTATAAGGAGACTGGAATGCAAAAATAGGAAGTCAAGGGATACCTGGAATAACAGGCAAATTTGGCCTTGGAGTACAAATGAAGCAGGTCAAAGGCTAACAGAGTTTTGCCAAGAGAACACACTGGTCATAGCAAACACCCTCTTCCAACAACATAAGAGAAGACTCTACACATGGACATCACCAGCTGGTCAATACTGAAATCAGATTGATTATATTCTTTAAAGCCAAAGATGGAGAAGCTCTATACAGTCAGCAAAAACAAGACCAGGAGCTGATTGTGGTTCAGATCATAAGCTCCTTACTGCCAAATTCAGACTTACATTGAAGAAAGTAGGGAAAACCACTAGACATTCAGATATGACCTAAATCAAATTTCCTTATCAATTATACAGTGGAAGTGACAAATAAATTCAAGGGACTAGATCTGATAGGCACAGTTCCTGAAGAACTATGGATGGAGGTTCCTAACATTGTATAGGAGGCAGTGATCAAGACCATCCTCTAGAAAAAGAAATGCAAAAAGGCAAAATGGTTGTCTGAGGAGGCCTTACAAATAGCTGCGAAAAGAAGAGAAGCTAAAAGCAAAGAAGAAAAGGAAGAAATACCCATTTGAATGCAGAGTTCTAAAGAATAGCAAGGAGAGATAAGAAAGTCTTCCTCAGTGATCAGTGCAAAGAAACAGAGGAAAACAATAGAATGGGAAAGACTAGAGATCTCTTCAAGAAAATTAGAGATACCAAGGGAACATTTCACGCAAAGATGGGCACAAATAAAGGACAGAAATGGTATGGATCTAACAGAAGCAGAAGATACTAAGAAGAGGTGGCAAGAATACACAGGAGAACTATACAAAAAAGATCTTCATGAGCCAGATAACCACAATGGTGTGGTCATTCACCTAGAGCCAGACATCCTGGAATGCGAAGTCAAGTGGGCCTTAGGAAGCATCACTATGAACAAATCTAGTGGAGGTGATGGAATTCCAGTTGAGCTATTTCAAATCCTGAAAGATGATGCTATGAAAGTGCTGCACTCAATATGCCAGCAAATTTGGAAAACTCAGCAGTGGCCACAGGACTGGAAAAGGTCAGTTTTCATTCCCAATCCCAAAGAAAGGCAATGCCAAAGAATGCTCAAACTACCGCACAACTAGACTCATCTCATCACATGCTGGCAAAGTAATGCTCAAAATTCTCCAGCCAGGCTTCAACAGTATGTGAACTGTGAACTTCCAGATGTTCAAGTTGGATTTAGAGAAGGCAAAGGAACCAGAGATCAAATTGCTAACATCCATTGGATCATCAAAAAAGCAAGAGAGTTCCAGAAAAACACCTACTTCTGCTTTATAGACTACACCAAAGTGTTTGACTGTGTGGATCACAACAAACTGTGGAAAATTCTGAAAGAGATGGGAATACCAGACCACCTGACCTGCTTCCTGAGAAGTCTGTATGCAGGTCAAGAAGCAACAGTTAGAACTAGACATGGAACAACAGACTGTTTCCAAACTGGGAAAGGAGTACATCAAGGCTGTACACTGTCAGCCTGCTTATTTAACTTATATGTAGGAGATAAGTCCTGGGTGTTCATTGGAAGGACTGATGCTGAAGCTGAAACTCCAATACCTTGGCCACCTGATGCGAAGAACTGACTAATCTGAAAAGACCCTGATGCTGGGAAAGATGGAAGGCAGGAAGAGAAGGGGATGACGAGGATGAGATGGCTGGATGGCATCACTGACTCTGGGCATGAGTTTGAGTAAACTCTGGGAGTTTGTGATGGACAGGGAGGCCTGGTGTGCTGCGATTCATGGGGTTGCAAAGAGTTGGATACAACTGAGTGACTGAACTGAACTGAACTGCACTGAGAGTACATCATGAGAAATGCCGGGCTGATTGAAGCACAAGCTGGAATTAAGATTGTTGGCAGAAATATCAATAACCTCAGATATGAGGATGATACCACCCTTATGGCAGAAAGCAAAGAACTAAAGAGCCTCTTGATGAAAGTGAAAGAGGAGAGTGAAAAAGTTGGCTTAAAACTCAACATTTAGAAAATTAGGATCATGGCATCCAATTCCATCACTTCATGGCAAATAGATGGGAAAACAATGGAAACAGTGAGAGACTTTATTTTGTTGGGCTTCAAAATCACTGCAGATGATGATTGCAGCCATGAAATTAAAAGACACTTGCTCCTTGGAAGAAAATCTATGACAAACCTAGACAGCATATTAAAAAGTAGAGATGTTACTTTGCCAACAAAGGTATGTCTAGTCAAAGCCATGGTCATTTATGGATGTGAGAGTTGGACTATAAAGAAAGCTGAGTGCCAAAGAACTGATGCTTTTGAACTGTGGTGTTGGAGAAGACTCTTGAGAGTCCCTTGGACTGCAAGGAGATCCAACCAGTCCATCATAAAGGAAATCAGTCCTGAATATTCATTGGAAGGACTGATGCTGAAGCTTAAATTCCAATACTTTGGCCACCTGATGCAAAGAAATGACTCACTGGAAAGACCCTGACGCTGGGAAAGATTGAAGGCAGGAGGAGAAGGGGACGGCAGTAGATGAAATGGTTGGATGGCATCACTGACTCAATGGACCTGAGTTTGAGTAAGCTCTGGGAGTAGGTGAAGGACAGGGAGGCCTGGCATGCTGCAGGCCATGGGGTCACAAAGAGTCAGACACAACTGAGTGAACTAAACTAAACTGAACTGAAAAACTTATAATTGCCAGAATTGACAAGAACCTTTTGTTTTGTGGGAAAAGGAAGAGCACGTGTTTCCACCTGCATTCCTTCTCTGGGCTCTGTCTGGGCCCCAGGGGGTCCCCTCATTTCTGCTCTGGGCTATCTGGGTGGCTGCCCTGTGGCTGGGGGGCCCCGTCCCCACAGCAGCCCCGCTGTGCAGGCCAGGCAGAAGGCCCAGTGGTGCCCCCGCAGGTTCTCATCTCGCATCATTCTTGCTGGTCATGGGCCAAAACCTTCCTTTTTCCAATGTCTCTGCTCACTCAGGGGTCCAGGGTGTCAAGATTTATAAGTCTGAGGTCCTCGGGGTACGGATGGTTTGGGGAAGCCTGCCTTTGAACATCCTGTGATGGGTTCAGGGTGGCGTTTTGAGCTCTTTCTCTGAGCCTGAGTTGTATTCCTTACAGGCTGTACTTCAGTGGATAAGAACAATTGAAACCAAGCATTCACAGACATTACAGTCACTTTAAGAACCTAAAGGGAAAAGAAATCAAGTTGCCTAACTGCCCTGTGTTTTGTTTCTGTTCCAGGTCCTACGGAGGCCCCTTTGAGAGCTGGTTTTTGTTTGTTCACTTTGGAGGGTGGGCTGATGTCACGGCTGAGCAGTTACTGATGTCAGAAGCTGAGGCTGAACCCCCAGAGGCCCTGCTGTGGCTCCTGGCTTTCAGCTGCAGCCCAGGCGCCGGGCATCAGCAGAGAGTGCAGACCATGGTAGGTGGCAGGGTCCAAGGCATGCGGCCTCGGGGACGGTCTCTCGGGTGCAGGAAGGGACCCTGCGGTGGTGGGTTTGGCTTTCACTGACCTCCAGGCACCTCAGCAGGTACAGGAAGACATGGACCTGGAAGAGTGAGTGGGCCCTGGGCGTGCACTCGAGATATCTTCTTGCCCTCAGGAGGGGACCAGGAGGCCAGGTCTCCCAGGAGGCCCCGCGGAAACAAGTGCGGCCCCTCTGGCCCTGGGCCATCCCCTCTCCTTACTCACTGCTGCTCTGTCCTGAACCCCCGGCGCGCCAGCCAGGGGCTGCACCCTCCAGGGCCTGTCAGCCAGGGTCTGACCCTCTCCTGAGGAGCCCCGGCCTTTCTCGTCTGCGGCCTGGCCCCGTCTGCTTCCCTCTGGACTTGACTCCTGTCTTGGATCAGTCAGTAGGTCCTCACAGTACCGGCTTTGTTTACAACTCTTACTAAAGTAATCACATGACATTAACCACTTAGCTTCTGAAAAAAGGACTTGGTCGTTTCCTAAATAACAGAGCAGCAAAGTACAGGAGTGGCTAAGTGTCCATGGCAAAGACAGTTGTGATTTTGTGTGGGATACGATAATTACAGGAGCCATGTATTGATTAAAGGCATTTGCGCCTTCCTTACAAACATTTATTTGCTGGTTTTTAAAAGTTCAACTGCCACCGCTTTTTCCTGATTTTAATAATTAAAGGGAGTGGGTTTCTTTATGTAGAGAGCAGTGCTCCCATTTGCTTGATGTTTTCTGTTGTTTGAAAAAAACAGAGACTACCAGTTCAGTATGGCTGTATATTTTACTTGTTTAAAAAGCATGTTACATGGCAGGGGCAATAAAAGTTTGTGATTTCAAAAAGTTGCAATTTGGTGATCATTCTGGATCCCAAATAGCACATTTTTTTTAATGGAAATTAACATTTATTTCAAGATTGCTATCTGATTAAAAAAAGATTAAAGAGAGCTTACTATTTTTTTTCCCTTTTAAAATATCACATTAAAGAGAATCCTGATTTGTTTTCGGGCTCCCCCGATGGCTTAGTGGGTAGAGAATTTGTCTGCAGTGCAAGAGACAGAGGAGATGTGGATTTGACCCCTGGGTTGGGAGGATCCCGTGGAGGAGGAAACAGCAACCCACTCCAGTATTCTTACGTGGAGAATCCCATGGACAGAGGAGCCTGGCCGGGCTACAGTCCATGGGGTTGCAAAGAGTCGGACACGACTGAGCACAGAGCACAGATGAACACTAATGCTTTCTGAAGCGTTCTTATATACATTTCATATTTGATTCTGTATTAGCTAAACTGGTAGGTTTTATGTTAAATTCCATATGGATCATAGAAACTGACAGATTACTTTTGAAGTGTACAGAAGTAAATAGTCCCATAAGATTTATTTTCTAGAGAGCTCTGCATTGGCATATCTTTCTGCTAGCTAAGTTAGTCCTTTTTTGGATTGTTTTTTAATAAAACTTCCACATAGTTCTCACTCAGGGGGTGCTTTGACAGCCTGGATCAAAACAGATTAGATCACTCAGAGGAGCTTAGCACCAGGACGTCAGTTTCCTTCCTAGCTGTTCCGTCCGAGGCGGCTGTCTGCCTGGGACTTGAGGCCCTGGTGTGGGTGGTATCCTGGGGAGCAGTGGGGCTGCTCTCCTAGTTTAACTAGTAGCATTAATACATAGTTCTCACTCCCCTGGGTTTTGTGAGCTTAATCCCTTTGATGGATCTGTTGGGTGACCTGACAGACTGTGAACTACCTTTAAAAACATGATTATTGTACGATTTGACTGAGCTTGACATTGCTTGTGCTTTTGCCTTAAAGTGAAACTAAAAGTGTTAGTCGCTCAGTCGTGTCCGATTCTTTGTGACCCCATGAACTGTGTAGCTCACCAGGCTCCGCTGTCCATGGAATTCTCTGTGAGAATACCTGTGCTTTTGCCTTAAAAGGCATAGTTAAATCACAACACTGAACTGGATGTGATAGTGTCCTGTGGCTGGAAACGTCACCTCTGCTGGGCATCCTTAAGATTCAAGATTGGGGCAGGTGGTGATGGGAGCTTGAGGTGGGGAGCAGCAAAGAGCAGCCATTCCCACCTGGGATGCATGCGGCCTGTGCGAATACCCACTCCTGTCTCTGCAGACTGCGTTCTCTGCCAGCCAGTGTTCACTTCCTTTTGTTAACTTCGAACTGAATCATGATAAAAAGCAAAAACTTCCTATGTTTGTATACTTTTAATAATTAAGTGAGGGTTCATACACTTCAACCCTGTCGTTCTTCTAGGAATTCTCCTAAGGAAGTAATTAGAGAGCTGTGTAAAGATTTGTATGCAGGATCATTGCAGTGTTGTTTGTAACTGCAATAACTGGAAATGGCCTACAATTCCAGTACTAAGGATATTGGCTAAATAAGTTGTGGTATGTTACAGCCACAGAATGGGCTTCCCTGATAGCTCTGTTGGTAAAGAGTCTGCCTGCAATGCAGGAGACCCCAGTTCAATTCCTGGGTCAGGAAGATCCACTGGAGAAAGGATAGGCTACCCACTCCAGTATTCTTGGGTTCCCCTGTGGCTCAGCTGGTAAAGAATCCACCTGCAATGTGGGAGACCTGGGTTCAATACCTGCATTGGGAAGATTCCCCTGGAGAAGGAAAAAGGTAACCCACTCCAGTATCCTGGCCTGGAGAATTCCATGGACTGTATAGTTTATGGGGTTGCAAAGAGTCAGACACAGCTGAGCGACTTTCACTTCACAGGCACAGAATAGCATTCTGCTGTGAAAGATCGTATTATCAAAGAACATGTGCTATATAGATAATGGTAAATTGTTTATAGTGCACTGTGAAAACCCTAGAATACAGTTCCTTGTATATAGTGAGTGCTATGTTCACAGTGAATAGAAAAAAGATGACAAAGATATAAACGTCAATTTTAATAAGTCTCTTTGAATAGTGGTTACCATCATTTTGATTTTCTTCTTTTTACTTTTTTGTTCAAATGTTTTACAGTAAGCATATGTAAATTTTCATACTGCAGGGTAAAAATTAATACTTAGAAAAGAAAGCTGATATTTTTCTCCTTAAAAGATCAGAAAGCATTAGTGTTTTTGGCATGTGAGGAAGGTATCTGAGGGAAAGGTGGCCTGGAGTGAAAGAGAAAGAGAAAACACAAGCCTCAGGGAATACTGGGTGAGCGGAGAAGATGAACAAGAACATGATTATGGAGGCAGCGCTTCCTAAGCCCTGACATTTTTGCAGACCAGCCTAGATGCAGGATGGCTGTGGGCTCCTGTAGATGCCATCAGGGTGGGCCCAGACAAGAGGTGGTGAGGGAGTGGCCCTCTCCTGTTAGGACGTGGCCCTCCACCATGGAAGGGCCCAGAGTGCAGTTTCTCACGGTCTTGCATTGTGGTCAGAGTTGCTCACACAACACTGCTAGTATGTTGGAATTTATGACAGACTTCATTGAATGAAGCCTTAACTTTCAGAGAAAAAAAGAACTCACACAAAATCCATAAAATTGGTCATGGGAATTTTTAGAGTGGGCCTAAGTGTTCTTTTGAAAATGAGGGAACATAGCTGTTTGTGAGTTCCATGTGGCATTTTGGATCTATGACTTTCAGATTTTGCTTTGTTTTCCAAGTCACAACTTGATGTACCATTCTTATAGCAAACAGAAGTCTCAGCATGAAATAAATATTTTTTATGCAGAAACAACCCACAGACCTGCAACAATCACTATTATTATATGGATTCCACAGACTTGTGACCTCCGCTTGAGCTTTAAATATGTATGAACAGTGTCCCAGTGTCTAAAACAAAACAAATGTGGTGTGTGTATGTGTGTGTGTGTGTGTGTGTGTGTGTGTGAGCCGGCATTTCCTCCCCACCAAAGATGGCAAAAGGCAAGCCTCATTCTTATCAGCACATTGACTCAGTGGAGGTCCAAGCACGGGGCTTTAATTGATCTGTGGCTGTGATAGTGAGCAAGTCTTCAAGGAGCCTTTTGTTCTTTTTCCCACAATATAAAAATATGACTACATTCTGCTGAGGACTTTTCTCCATTTCCTTTTGTACAACAACAAAAAAAAAGGTCAATTCCTGGCATGGTGCCCTGGCTGCTTAGTGAGCAAGACGAAAGTCAAGAAATTTCCATTACGCCCATTCGGGTTTGTGTGGAGCAGCGTGTAAACTCGGACATGGCCCACCCTCTCTGCCCTCCCTCGGGCGCCAGACCTCTCCTGATTCTGGGGCTGCTGCAGAGAGCTGAATCATCCTAGCCCCACACGTGTCCCGGCCCTCCCCTGATCTCTTCCTTTGAAATTATATTCCCAGGTGGAGGTGAAGACAGTGCTTGGCCGCCTCACGAAGCTCTTCGGGAGTCCAGCCCTCTCGGCCAGGGATCTGCAGGCAGCAGCTGGAGAGAACCGGGGTGGAGACCCCAGACCGCCTGCTTGTCAGCAGCTGGTCAGACGCCTCCTCCTGCACTTCCTGCTCTGGGCTCCTGGAGGACACGCGATTGCCCGGGAAGTCATCACCCTCGTAAGTCTCCCCTTTTCTGGCATCCTGCTTCTCATTCACAACCCAGGGGAAGCGTGGCTTATCACTCAAGGGCCTGGCCTTTGAGGAGCCTGTGTCCCAGGATGCTGTCCAAATATGGATGGACAGGAAGGGAAGAGACAGCCCGGCCGGATGGGGAGCATGTGCAGCACCTGCATGGCAGAGAGGAGGGGAGAGGGCGGCCGGTAAGGAAGGAGCCTGCTCCCAGGTCACACAGCTCGTGGCCAGGATCCAGCCTGAAAGCTAGTCTCCTGTCTCCTCAGGCCATCTTTTTGTTACAGTGTGTGACTCTTCCTCCTTGTGAAGAAAAACAAGACTTCACTCAAGTGTGCTCACTGCAGTGGCTCAAAGAATTTAATTTTTTAATTTAAAAAACATTTGCTAATTACAAAGAAATCCTTCCTCAGTTCAGTCCAGTCGCTCAGTCATGTACGATTCTTTGCGATCCCATGGACTGCAGCACGCCAGGCTTCCCTGTCTATCACCAACTCCCAGAGTTTACTTAAACTCATGTCCATTGAGTCGGTGATGCCATCCAGCCATCTCATCCTCTGTCATCCCCTTCTCCTCCTGCCTTCAATCTTTCCCAGCATCAGGGTCTTTTCAAATTAGTCAGTTCTTCGCATCAGGTAGCCAAGGTATTGGAGTTTCAGCTTCAGCATCAGTCCTTCCAAAGAATATTCAGGACTGATTCCCTTTAGGATGGACTGGTTTGATCTCCTTGCAGTCCAAGGGACTCTCAACAGTCTTCTCCAACACCACAGTTCAAAAGCATCAATTTTTTAGCACTCAGCTTCCTTTATAGTCCAACTCTCACATCCATACATGACCACTGGAAAAACCTCTGCTTTGACCAGACGGACCTTTGTTGGCAAAGTAATGTCTCTGCTTTTTAATATGCTGTCTAAGTTGGTCACTAGCTCTTAGAGAAATGCAAATCAAAGCCACAATGAAGTACTGCTCCATACCCACTAGGACATATATGTGTGTGCTCAGTCGCTTCAGTTGTGTCTGACTCTTTGTGACCCTATGGACTGTAGCCTGCCAGTCTCCTCTTTCCATGGGATTGAATACTGGAGTGGGTTGCCATGCCCTCCTCCAGGGGATCTTCCTGACCCAGGGACTAGGACATATACTATAAACCAAGTCAAACAAAATGAAAGACATGTCTTGGTAAGGACGTGGAGAAATTGAACACTCACCTTTCCAGTTGGGAATGTTAAAATGATGCAGCCACTGTGGAAAAGAGTTTGACGGTTCCTCAAAAATTTAAAGATAGAATCACCATATAATCCAGCTGTTCTGCTTCTGAGTGTGTACCCAAAGCAACTGAAAGCAAGGACTCAAACAGATACTTGTTCATTCTGCTTATAGCAGTGTTATGCCTAAGAGCCAAAAGACAGAAATAGCTCAAATGCCCATCAGCAGATGAATGGATAAACCAAATACGCTTTGTACGTACAGTAGAATATTATTCAGCCTTACAATGAATGAAAGACACATGCTACGACATGGATGAAACTTGACAGCTAAGTAAAATAAGCCAGACACAAAAAAAGGACAAATACTATATGAGTGTATTCATGTGAGATACCTAGAATAGGTAAATTCATAGAGACAGATAGTAGAATTGAGTGGGGAGTGGTGCAGAGTTCCTGTTTGGGATGATGAGCAAGTTATGGAAATGGACAGTAGTGTGGTTGTACAACATTGTGAATATAATTCATGCCACTGAACTGTACATTTAAAAATGGTTAGAATAGCAAATTTTATGTTATAAGCTCATCTCAAAAAAAAATGCTGTTTTTTTCCTGTTTTTATAATACATATACATTACATATACATATACATTTTTATAATACACATACATTAAAGTATAACTTGATGAATTTTCACAAACCAAAAACACCCATGCAACCAGCAACCAAATCAAGAAAGGAATGTTCCCAGTACTCAGAGGCCCCCTCCTGCCCTCTCCTGCTCTGTTTGAATGTGAACGGGAAGCAAGTCCCAGTGACCAGTGGGATTGCCAAAAACTCAGTCACTGGTGCTCAGAGGTTCTCCTTGGTCCCGGGAGAACTATGTGGGGCAGGCAGGCCACACAGCCAGCCTGTCAGGCCGTCCTCTAGGGCTCAGACAGAAGACCTCCCGGAGCCTGGGTGTGGCCGAGAGCAGAAGAGGGCTTGCCTGTCACATGCGGGGTGCCATCTCCTCGGGGCCCGCCCCAGCACAGCCATCTGTCATGTGCTTTTATAAAAGGCACATCTCACCTCCAAATCCATTTGGGGTGGGAGAACTCCATAGGTGAGAGCTAAAGAATGTCCTCATAGCTGAAGAACAGGGTATCAACCAATTTTCCTCTCTGGCCAGGAATAAATTATAATAGTCACTTGTCAGCCACTGCCTCAGCCATGTGATGAAGGTCAACATCAGCAGTACTAAGTCACGTTGATAGGAAGTGATGAAAATGGCACTTCCTACCCCAAATCTATAACCCCAGTCTAATTATGAAAAAAACAATTGACAAACTCCAGTTGAAGGACATTTGACAAAAATACCTGACCAATACTCCTTAAGACTGTCAAGGTCATCAAAAACAGGGAAGTCTGAGGAACAGACTTCTTGTCTGTTGTCACAGCCAACAAGAGCCTAAGGAGGGTCAATGGTTAAATGTAATGTGGTGCCTTAGATGGAATCCTGGACCAGAAGAAGGACATTAGGGAGAAACAGGTCAGAATAAAGTCTGACCTAAAAGTCGGGTTAATAAAGTGAATAGATACTGGCTCATTAATTCTGACAAATGTACTAAACTAATGTAAGATGTTAACAGGAAAACTGAGTGTGGGAGGATATGGGATTTCTCTGTATTATCCTTTTGGTCAAACTATAAATCTAAAACTGTTCTAAAATTGAAAGTTATTTTAAAAGTTAAGGGGACTTCCCTGGTGCTCCACTGGGTAAGACTCCGAATTTCCAATGCAGGGGTCCCAGGTTCAATCTCTGGTGGGAACTGTATCCCACATGCCACAACTAAGACCCAGTGCAGAAATTTAAAAAACATATATATATGAGAAGTGGCTTCTCGGGTGGCACTAGTGGTAAAGAACCTGCCTGCTAATGCAGGAGAACTAAAAGACACGGGTTTGATCCCTGGGTTGGGAAGATGTCCTGGAGGAAGAAATGCCTGGAGAATCCCATGGACAGAGGAGCCTGGCAGACTACAGTCCATAGGGTTGCAAGGAGTTGGACACAACTGAAGCAACTTAGCACGCATATATAAAAGGAAACCTGTTTTAAAAAACAAAAAATCAAAGCCAGGGACTTCTGAATCATGCAGGCGTTGGTGGTATTTTTGTTGCCTGACCTCTGACCTCCTGCCCAGGCCCTGGAGCCTGCTCAGGCCTGGCCGCCCTTCCTCTCTGAGTCTGTGCGCTCCTAGTCCTCCCACATCCTGTCCCCCTGGGGGTGGAAAGCAGGCCAGGGAGATCATGGAATCCCAGCCCATAGGGTGTGAGAGAATACAGCCTAGAGAAAGCTCCTCAGAGACACCCAGTTCTCTGCTTCCGTATTCCAACCGTATTTCCCTCCATTCTGGGAACAGTCCACATTCACACGGACCACCCTCTCAGGTCTCACCCACAGAACGGCTGCTGTGACTCAGGAACTGGTCATGTCACCAAGCTCAGGCTTGTCACCGATGCCAGAGGCCAATTCCCACAAAATAGCTCAACCCCAGTCAACGCTGCTGATCTACACCTGAGCCTGGGGGAGCTCGGAAAATCCCCGCACATCTTCACTTTCATAAGTCGGCTCAGCTGCAAAAAAAACAACAAAAATCATTAGAGGATGAAACGAGGTGTTTGCTTTCCTGCACTGGTTCCTTGGCGGGTGGGCGCTGGCCTCCCGGCACCTCAGAACCTGTCGTAGCTCAGAATGCCTCCTGGGCTCTGTCCTTAGAGATGTTCTGGAACTGTCTTTACTAACATATCGGCCTTCCTACTCGAAGGCTTCCTGTAGTGCCACATGGTCTGTTGAAGGCAGCCCAGCAAGCACTGCTACGAGCAGGACCGGCGTTAGGAGTCCCCCCAGCACTGGCTCCTCCCGGGGCCCTCTTTGAGCACCCTGGGAAGAGTTCCATGCCAGGTCTGCTTGACTGGGAGCAGATGGTGGCCAGCTGGGAAAGCCTGGGCTCAGTGGGACAGCTGTTCTTTCCCAGGGGCTTTGGCATCAGCACCCCCAGAACCCCAGCCCTGGCCTGGCTTTGATGAGAAAGAGAGTAGGGAGCAGAGCCAGCCCCCGGCCGGGTCCTGGTCTTGCTGTCGTGTGAGCCCTGGGCTCTGAGCCCCGTGTTCCCTGCACCGTGTTCCATCCTTACCAGAGTGGCGCGTGTGCCGTCCGCTCACCTTCCTCCTCTCGTGGCCCCACACCCCAGGCTCTGCCGCAGGCTGCTCCCCACCGACTGCTTCCTCGGGCTCAGGCACAGGCCCCAGGGCTCAGCTTCTGAGTCCCCACTGAATCCCTGGGCCAGAACCCCTGCCCTCCCCGCCCCTTCTTCTTCGGCTTCTCTGCTCCCTGCTCCTGGTTTACGTCTCCACTCTCTGCTCCTTCCGAGCCTCTGTGATGAGGATGAGGCACAAGGAGCCCGGCTGGGGCCCAGGTTCCCGCGGCCCCTGAGGCCCATCCCCTCCTGCCCCGTGACCTGCCCCGACTTCCCGTTTCTCTCTCTGCCTCCTTCTGTCTTCTGTTGCTGGACCACAGCGCTGTCAGCCGAAAGGCAGCCCGAATCTGAAGTACAGACTTCAGTTCTGTCGTTGCGGAGCTCACGATGAGTTGAAGCCCCATACAGATGACCTTCCGGAGCATCCCTCCTTCAGCAGCAGTGGGGCGGGGTGACCGGAGACTGGAGCGGAACGCAGTCTCCCTCTCCCCTCCCCAGGTTTGGGGAAGTCAATTAAGTCTTTTAAGGCATCCCAGGAAAGCTCACGTTGTTTCATCCATGGAGGTCACCTACAGCATCTGTGACTGCTGAATAAAAGCCAAGAGAGGAGGATCTGACACCAAGAGCCACATGGAACCCGCCCAGGCTGGCAGCCCGCCCCCGCCCCCAGCCCCTGCAGAGACCCTCTCGGCTTGGGCGGCTGCCAGGAGATGGCCGAGGAGCACCAGCGTTGCCCAGGGGGCCCGGGTGTCCCCCGCTCTCACTCACTCAGTACCCCTGCTGCCGAGAGATCTGCCTTGACTGACGGACAGCGGTGGCGTGGGACTTAAGGCTGCCCTGGGCCCTGGAGAATCCCAGGTGGACCATCCTGGTCATCCTACCAGAAGGGCCCAGCTGCACACGGGGAAGAAGCCTGACCTTGGGCTGCACAGGCGACTTAAACATTTGACTCACACACAGAAAACAAATACATGGTGCTCGCTTTGGCAGTGCGTAGCCTAAAATTTAAAGGAGACAGATGATTAACATGGCCCCTGTGCAAGGATGACATGTAGATTTGTGAAGCGTTCTATATTTAAAAGAAAAAAAAAAGCATAGATTACTCTCAAAAATAGAGGTTCTTATATACTTGTGTTTAAAAAAGCATAGTAAATTCTTCACAGATAGATTGTGAGATTCTCACCCTTTTTGTTGAACCGAACTCTTAGAAAATGGCACTTAAGGGTACCACAACTAAGGCGGTATTTAGCAGAAATGACAGTTCCTGTGTTTCCTGCTTCCCGTAAGAGTCAGGTGTTAAAAACTTTGTTGTTATTGCTTAGTTGCTAAGTCGTGTCTGACTCTTCGCAACCCCATGGTCACATTCAGCATGCCAGGCTTCTCTGTCCACTCTCTCTCGGAGTTTGCTCAGATTCATGTCCACTGAGTCTGTGATGCTATCTCACCATCTTTTCCTCTACCACCCCTTCTCCTCCTGCCTTCAATAGCCTCCCAGCATCAAGGTCTTTTCCAGTGAGTCTGCTCTTTGCATCAGGTGACCAAAATATTACAGCTTCAGCATCAGTCATTCCAGTGAATATTCTGGGTTGATTTCCTTTAATATTGACTGGTTTACTCTCCTTGCAGTCTAAGGGACTCCTGAGAGTCTTCTCCAACACCATAATTCAAAAGCATCAATTCTTCAGTGCTCAGCCTTCTTTATGATCCAACTTATACATCCATACATGTCTACTGGAAAGACATAGCTTTGATTATATAGACTTTCTGCCGGCCAAATGATATCTCTGCTTTTGAATATGCTCAGCTTGTCATAACTTTCCTTCGAAGGAACAAGCATCTTTTAATTTCATGGTTGCAGTCACCGTCTGCAGTTATTTTGGAGCCCAAGAAAATAAAATCTGTTACTGCTTCCACTTTTCCCCCTATTATTTGCTATGAAGTGATGGGATCAGATGCCATGATCTTAGCTTCTTAACTGTTGAGCTTCAACAAGGCTGCGATCCATGAAGGGAGTTAAAATCTTAGGTGCCTGTTAACAAACAAGTGGGCCAGCCGCGAGCCCAAGAATGCCATTTGTAAAGCTGTTTGTGTGAGAACAGGTGGCACTCTCTTTTCAGCATTTTCCAGTTCTCACATTAGAGTGAGCCTTTCGTAGAAAGTCAAGCGTAGTATGCTCATTTGCCTCTGTTTCTCACAGCAAATAACCCCCAAAGCATGCGACAGGTGTTCCAAGAAATAAAGCATTTGTGCATTTGTCTGTAGCTATTGTGTGTCTGAGGGGGTGAGCTTTAGGAAATGATTCTGCTCACAAGATGGCCAAGATTTGAGAATGGTCTTGCTTTGCTCATCACCTGGAAAACAAATAAGAGCCCTTTGGAGCTGATAGGAATGCAGCTGCCTCTGGGAGACAGGATGGTTACGGTTGGTGCACTGGATGAAGAGCTGACTCTGTCTGCAAAGTGTTTTAATTTGTCTTCTTTTCTGTCCTCATTCCAGATGGCTCAGACGGATGCGATAATGAACGAGATTATTGGCTTCCTGGACTGTACTTTGTACAGATGGGATCATCTTTGCGTGGAAGCCCATAGGTCGAGAAAACTGGCCAGAGAGCTCCTCACAGAGCTGCGAGAGCAAGCCTTGCCCCAGCAGGTTAACCAGTGACTCCACATGATGAGATGATGGGGCCGCTTCTTCACAGCCACAAGTCTGTAGAATGTGTTCCCTCTTCGCGTTGTAAGAATGAGCCATAAGCATCTTGGCAAGATCTGGTAGTACTTGTTCTGCAAAAACTGTCAGGTACTTCAGCCTGGATTCAGTGAGGTTTACTCACTAATGACAAGGTTGTGGCTTCAGCAGCCCCTGTGCCTGCTCAGCCTGAATGTCGATTAGAGAACCCCTAAAGGAAAGCCTGGATGGGAGAAGAGATTTCTGTTTCCTTTCCTCCCCTTATCAAACCAAGGCACATGACTATTATTTGGATGTTTCAAACACTTTGGAACAAGAAGTTGGCCATGCACCATTGATCATTTTAGAAAACACCTTAGCCTTCTTCCACTTTTTTAAGAAGTCCGGTAATTGTTACCAGTATCTCATCTTATCCACCAGGAAGCTCTCTTGCTTTCCTAAGACGTTCTTCATCCAGGATAGTGTGGACCCCTCGAGTTTCCCTCCCATGGCCCCTAAGCAGATCCCACCAAGCCCAGGGGTGGTAGTGGTGACCGGGGAACAGCATGTCTTAGCAATGAAAGGAAGCCTGCTCTGGGCCTTTGCTTTACATTTGCTAAGCACTGGCTGTTACTGCAAGCGCTCACATTACCTCAAAGGTGGCTGATAGGGTAGGGTTCAGGATGAGTGCTGGAAACATGGGAAGAGATTATATGTCAGCTGTCTTGTTAACTAAAATGGGAGTTGGAAATTTCTAATAAAGAATTGGCATCTCAACAATATTTATTTCACTTCAATTAAAGACATTTTTCCCTTTTAGGTTTATGCTTTTGCTTTTTTGTGTATTATCTGTTTGCCGAGTGAGTCAAGACTTTTGTGTCCACTTGGATTTATGTATTAGTCATCTCTAAATCTGCCTTATTCTTGGCTTCTGTTTGAGGATGAGTAAAGTTTTGCTGTATTAGACATTAAGCTTTTAGAGTTATTACCTGTTTTGATATATGGATCTTGGAAAATTCCAAGACCTTTTGACCTGAGCCTTCCATTTGAGAAATGCTACAGTATGAAAGGTATGCTGTTAAAGTACTTTTATCACAAGTGCCATCATCATGTGCTTCCCTTAGAGTTGAGGATGCCTCTCCTATGTTGATTCTTGCCAGGGAAGCTGTGACCGACTTCAGTGGACATGAAAAAAAAAGGCTCAGTTCAGTGGTAGCCAGTCCCCCCTAAACTGAGTGGCCCCTGGGATCCAGACCTCCTTGGGGGGGTATGCTTCCACATGGACACCCATTCACACTGTATTTCACAGCAAATAATAAAAACAGGACAGTTATCTATCTCAGATTGTTTAATCTGCATTTCTGGAAATTTCCTTCCTGACCTTACCTCAGTCTGTGTGTAGTATTTCCTAATTCCTTTACAAAGCCTCTAAGTTCCCCTAAGCTTTGGACTTAGATCAAAGAGGACAGAGCCCAAAACTAGGGAGAAAATGTATTAAATGGCCACCCTTAATACACCCATAACACCCTTATGTTATTCATCAGGGCTTCATGATGTTTATAGAATTTGCTAGCTTTTTAAAATCTGTAATTTGCTTTATAGTTTGTCAGTCTAAATAAAAGTCACATGGCACCTAATTTTGTATTAAGTATTACAGTTTTTCTCAGAAAAAAAAATTCTCTCTACTCCCCAATTATGGGAGCTTCCAGGTTTCTCAAAACCTAGATAGGTCTGCCCCTAGAAAAGACCAATTATGATTTATCTCTAGGCCTAGGAAACTTGCCACTGGATATCTAAAAACTGCTGAGGAGAGTGGGTGTAGGGTAGGCAAGTCAGCAGCAGCTGCTAAAACAAAACGAGATGCGTCATAATATAGACACTTTTTTTCCCTTTAAGCCATACTTAAATATTACCACTGAGTGTAATCTGAATTGATGTACACATTGTGTCCCCGCCTCAGTTTCTGAAGCGAGAATGCATCTGACAGAGCACAGCCCACCCTCCTGCTCACGCTGGTGTTTCAGACTCACAGCCCTCTCGCTCCGGCCTCCCCGGCTCCCTGGGCATTGGGAAGGAGGGACCGCACCCGCAGCTGCACACATCCCCCGATCACATCCCCATGGCTCTCAGGATCTGGCCGCCCCCAGTTTTACCTCAAACAGCTTGCATTGGGCTCTCTGGACAATCACTCTGCTTCCTGACGTGGGGTACCAGGGGGCTCCTGGCATGTCCAGGAGGCACTGAACCGCAGAGGGCATGTGGGGACGAGCCCCTGCCCGGGCGGTCCTGGGTGCCATGTATACCCGGCCCCGTTCTGCTGGGACAAAGGTACCAGACAGGATGAGAGGGGACAGCAGAAAGCCACATCTTCCGTCAAAGCGGAGTGAAGAACAGGGATTGGAAGAGGATCCGGACCTGGGCAGTGGGCAGAAATTCAAGGCAAATTGATACCGAGCCTGACCCTGTTATCCAGAGGGGCCTAGTGTTTGCACAGTAAGAACAAACCTGAGGAATGTTCTATCTTATTCAACAAGGAATCCAAACTCTGCTCTCCAGGGAGGAAGATAATGGACTTGACTGTGCCACGGTTCCTGCCTTTCTCTTCCTCTGCCAGCCCATCACCACCCCACCCACAGCCCGTGGTGCTGGGGATGATTTCCTTCCTCTGCCTGACACTGGGTTTGACATGGATTTCATGCATTTTGTCAAACAATCCTGTTATTAATCATCACCAAACCTTCTCATTCCTAAAGAACCAAATTTAAGGCAAAATAAATACGTGTGTCTTAAAGCCTCCTTCTAAGATCCAGGACCACAGTTCGTTTATAGCATGGGTCCAGATCATATCCCTCATACACAGACTGATAGTAACAAAGGACGGTTGTAGTGTAGGACTTCCTTTTCCACCAATCCTTGCTATAATTGTGCTAGCGAACCATACTTGGTGTTTGGGGTAGGAAACTTGCATGCTTGGATACTGAGTTTCATACTTAGATCTTCTGTAGAAGCAGAAATTCTCTTAAATCACTGTTGAAAATCTCAACCTCTAGTTTTTCTCACAATGTGATGAATCCATGTGCATCAAGTTAGGATTCTTGTTGCAAGCAACAGAAGCAGACACAATGTTGAAGCAAGAGGGAAGTGATCCAAAGAGTACTTAAAAGCCCACAGAGGACTTCCCTGGTGGTCCAGTGGTTGAGTCCACCTGCCAATGCAGGGGACATGAGTTCGATCCCTGGTCTGGGAGGATTCCACATGCTTCAGGGCAACAGAGCCCGCAAGCTAAAACTACTGAGCTCACAGCCCACAGCTGCTGAGGCCCAAATGCCCTAGAGCCTGAGCTTGGCAACAAGAGAAGCCACCGCAATGAGAAGCCCGCGCAGCAAAACTAGAGAGCAGACCCTCCTATCCATAACGAGAAACACACGCCCAGCAACCATGACCCAGCCAAAAATACTTTAAAAAAAAAGCCCACAGAACTGTGGAGCAGAGAAGGCTTAGCTCTGGTCAGCCAGCGGCAGTGCCCAAAACCCAGGTTCAGAGTGGCCAGGTGAGGAAATTCCTGCTGTTGCCACTGAGTTCTGTGATTCAGGACCCTTGTATTAACAGTTTGTCCTGCAAGCTCCGCTGCCTTCAGTAGGGATTCAGGCCCTGTCCCCCACATCTCTTAGGCTGTAAGAAGAGCTGGGGAAGGTGCCAGCTGGTTTCACTTCTGTGACATCATTGGATGCCACTGACAGCATCCCCCATAGATGGGGGGCGGGGGTCAGAACCTGGGCGGCTAAAGAGAATGACGAATGTCCACACACACTGTCTACTCTTTAAGACTCTTCTAGGGCATCGTGGAAGGATGAGCGCCATGAAACAGCCTAATACTAGCAGAAGATGGAGGAGGGCCCTTGGCAGAAAGCCGGTTTGCAGGCATCTGAGGCGGGGGTCATCAGTGTGGCACCATTAACCCTGGGGACCCAGCAAGTCTCTGCAGTGGGGGCTTCATCCCACCCTCTCTGAACTAGGTGCCAGCCCAGAGACGACAGCGGAAGCTTGGTCCACACGTTGCCAGACGGAGAACCACTGCTCTGACTGGTAGTTCTTTCCTCTCAGAAAGACCTCCTGAATAGAAACACAGTAACTACCTCAGAGAGTAAATTAGACTTAGAATCCTAATAGGAGAACTAGGTATCCTGACTCCACAAGAATTTTGGAGTTTATTCTTAAAAATAAACATTTTTAAGAAAAGCCAAGAAACGGGACTTCCCTGGTGGTCCAGTGGTTAAGACTTCACCTTCCAATGCAGGGGGAGTGGGTTCAATCCCTGGCTGGGGAGCTAGGATCCCACGTGCCTCTCGGCCAAAAAACCAAAACAAAAGGTACAGTCAAGAGAATCCTGAAAGTGAGGTGTTATATGCAGTATAATGACAAGCATGCATCTTGGCACATGTTCTTAAAGCCAAGTCACTACAACAAGTTGGTGGAACCCGAAAGAGGGACCCCTGGGGACTGTCCGTATCAGGGCGCCCTCCCCGGGGCCCCAGCCAGCCGTTCTCGGGCCTCCTACACCAGTCTGGGCGGCACCTGACCAACTGAGTCTCTCTCCTCCCTGACAGCTTCCCTTGGCTGGTGGAACATTCCAGGGCCTTCCTTTGTCTAAGGGGGCTGGGCCCTGCCCAACCCCTGACCTCCACTTAGCAGGCACCCTGGGCTCCGTCCTTAGGTCTCCACCCCGTGGCGCCTCACTCTGCTGGCCGTTCACAAGCCACCTCCGTGCAGAGGGGCCACCTCCTCCCCAGACCACACACCTGAATACCCGCGGCCCACCAGCTACTTCCACTGGGTGGTCAGCGACAATGTCAAACTACCATGGGGTGACTCCACCAGCCCACCCACCCCGCACCAAAACCACAGTCTCCTCAAGTCAGTCGATGGTGGCTCCAGCTATGCAGGGACTCAGTCCCAATTCTGCAAGCATTCTGCCCTGCTCTCCTCTCACCCCCATGTCTCCGTCACAAGGTCGTCCCTATCTCTGACTGCTCCTTGCTCCTTGCCCTCCTCTGGGACACCAACATCGCCTACTCTCCCTGCTCCCACCCTCACCCACCTGCAGAGTTTCAGCAATCATTTCCAACTGCCGTCACATCACACCCCCGTTCAGAGCATGGTGAAACCCAACATTCTTAAAACAGCGTTCAAGGCCCTACATAGGTTGGACCCCAGGCAATCTACTTATATACTTGACTGTCTCCAATACAAGTGCCTGGAATAGTTGCAGGTATACCATGGGTACCTGACAAGTATTTGTTGAATTAGTCTAAGGATTTATGATCTGCTGGATCAAAGAAAAACAAGAGAATTCCAAAAACACATCTACTTCTGCTTCATTGACTGTGCCAAGGCCTTTGACTGGGTGGATCACAACAAAGTGTGGAAAATTCTTAGAAAGATGGGAGTACTAGACCACCTGACCTGTCTCCTGAGAAACCTGTATGCAGGACAGGAAGCAAGAGTTGGAACCAGACATGAAACAACGGACTGTTTCGAAATTGGGAAAGGAGTACGTCACGGCTGTATACTGTCACCCTGCTTATTTAACTTCTATGCAGAGTACATCATGAGAAATGCTGGGCTGGATGACTCACAAGTTAGAATCAAGATTGCCAGGAGAAATAT